GAAACAATACCTCGAGTCGGAAACCCTCAACCATAAACTTTGAACCCTGAACCCTAAACCCTTGAACCCCTGATCGTAAACCGATTCCGAGCTGCGATCGAACTGTTGCACGACCTCTCGTGCAAGCTCCTGGCACTTCTCCGCGGACCACACCCGACCTGCACCTGCCAGCGTGGAAGACCCTGCTCTACCACGGACATCAGAGGAGTCAACAACAGACCAGTACAGGGGCGGGCTTACTCATACGTGCTTCAATGTTGCACTACTTCATAGGGAACCGAGCAGGTTTAGAGGGGAGGGCGAGGACTATACTTCCTGAAAAAGGCCATATAAGGACCCATATCAGGTCCTTATTAGGAGTATTAACCCTCTGCCAATTCCACTTTCATTTTTGAGGGTGCCCATGTCTGCCCTTTGTTAGACTGTGTCGTTGCACATTCTCATTCGACTATGTTAGCCTATCCTATGTTAGGTTGTATTGATCTACCATACCATTACTACGTGTCATCGGTCATATTTCCTGGCTTAATTCGTTCATGATACAATGACAGGCATGAAGTAGTCACGGTAGCAACAGTGCAGCATAGCATGTAGTGTCAACTTGTTTTTCCCGTCCGGTGGCACCTGCTTCGAACAGAACGTGGGCAATCTCTGCCTTCGGCGACGTTCAGAAGACTCTGAGTTGCACAGACAGGCAAACATGTCAGTCGGCGAAAAATTTGAACCTGACCCCTCGACCCTCATGGTCGTACATATAGATACGACGGTGACGATGATAACGAAGGTGAAGATGATGATGATGATGATGATGATGTTGATGTTTCGGTTGATGATGTTGAAGATGATGATGATGCTGATGACGATGTTGACGATGATGGTGATGATGATGAAGATGATCTTGATGGTATGAGCATGATGAACATAGTGACCGTGGTGAACGTGAACATGGTGAACATGGTGGTGGTGGTGGTGGTGGTGGTGGTGGTGGTGGTGGTGGTGGTGGTGGTGGTGGTGGTGGTGGTGGTGGTGGTGGTGGTGGTGGTGGTGGTGGTGGTGGTGGTGGCGGCGGCAGTGGTGGCAGTGGTGGCAGTGGTGGCAGTGGTGGCAGCGGTGGCAGCGGTGGCAGGGGTGGCAATGGTGGCAGTGGTGGCAGTGGTGGCAGTGGTGGCAGTGGTGGCAGTGGTGGCAGTGGTGGTGGCGGTGGTGGTGGTGGTGATGGCGGTGGCAGTGCTTGTGGTGGTGGCGGCGGTGGTGATGATGGTGATGGCGGTGATGATGGTGATGATGGCGGTGACGTTGATGATGGCGGTGACGTTGATGATGGTGATGACGGTAATGATTGCGATGATGGCGATGCCGATGGCGATGGCGATGGCTATGATGATGATGATGATGATGATGATGATGATGATGATGATGATGATGATGATGATGATCGCGATGATGATGTTGATGATGATGGTGCTTGCAATGCTGATGATGCCGATGATCATGATGATGATGACGACTGAAAAGAATATTGCACGTGTCGTCGATCGTGCCAAACCCTCTCCGTGCTTGTAGACATACACCACTGAATCTACATGTCAGCTGAGAAAGTCTTCGTCCAATTTGCGGCATGACAGGGACATAGTATATTGCATCTTCTTGGGCAGCGCTTGCTTTGAGACCACAAAACAAAGTCCAAATAGCAGCCAGGACAAATGCGAACACAGAGCGAGCAACACGCCTCTGTGATGTTGCCGTCCGACTCATGCACGTCGAAAGCCTGGGAATCTCAATGGATCCTTTTCTGGGCTACTCAAAAGCTCCAGTCCAGAAGAACCTTGTGTAGTCGCGAACAGAGTTATCACCAAGGCATCCACGTTCTAGCGGAAGCTGCTTGCAGCCCCCTTGCCACTCCTAAGGTCTTGCAATGCGCACCCGCCCCCTGGACTACCCCCTCACATCTAATCCATACCCTCAACCCTAACATCGGGACTCTCCTGAGCCCCCCCTAACACTCGCCTTGAAGGCGGCCCACAAGGCCTCCACCTGCCCCGGCATTTCGAGAGTTTTTGGGGTCCACGCTTCAGTGTTTGGGGCTGGGCTTTGGGGTCATTATACGGATTCTTGGGGTTTAGTATGCTAGCCTTGAGAATTAGACAAGGGTTTTGGAGAGATCACACCAGAACTATATATGGTCTGTAGAGGGATATCTGGGTGATTTTGCATTTTCACAATCTAGGTGTTACAATTGGAATATGGATCAGGTTCTATTACAGTCTAATCAGGATTGTTCGAAGCCCTTAGAAACAGCACTAGTATCACTAACGATTCGGCCTTCGAGCTTAATGGAGGGGTCTGAACAAATAGAACAGGGGGGGTATCTTGTACTGCTGGAGGGTACAACAAGGAACCGCCACATCAGTATTGGTAATTTTTGAGGCACCTATATTAGCGCCAAACCTTTACCTATCCCTAAACCTTTATAGTCCACAGCCCTTCTATTTGTAGTATCCCTTTTGGTAACCCCAAATCTAGCTCATCATCCGGCCCTAAACCCAAACCCTGAGAATTTCCGATACGCGAAAGTCAGGGACAGAAAGCGCCTCGCTATTGACCCTGTTGCCCAAGCCAGCTGCCAAGAACTCGGTGTAATCAATGGCCTTAGGCGTTTAGGGAAAGCAAGGTCTGGGGCTTAGGGTTTAGAGGGTTTAGGGTTTAGGGAAAGCAAGGTTTAGGGCTTAAGGTTTATATAGAGGGTTTAGGGTTTAGGGGCAAGCTGTTCGGGGGTAGCAGCCCCCAGAGGAACCCTTGAAACAACCCGACTCCGTATTATGCCCGTCTATATCCCTAACGCCCCAAAGCGTAGTGGGTCACCTCAACCCGAGACCCTAAACCCCAAAGTCCTATCCTAAACCCCCTCCAGTGTCCTTAAAGTAGCCCTTTAGTAGTCATAAATACAAACTCTATAACCCTGAATCCTCATGTTGCTCTACAAGTGGCTCCAGACCCGTCGATGTCCAGGCGCGAGAACATCTCCTGCACTGAGAAGAATAAGGCTTCTGGCATCGTTTTGTACAAGTTTAGGGTTTAGGGTTTGGGTTTGTGGCATGGTTTTGTACAAGTATATCAAGACATATTGAGGTTATGGTGTGACGATATGAGGTTCTAGTTTAATAGGCGTAAATATGTAACGACTGCGTCTGTCGCTTCAACCGTGCTGTACAAGTACAAGGCTCTAAGAACAGTTTCTGAACTTCCGAAAGCGCAAGCATAGAGCCCTCAGAAAACCTGCATCTGATGCAGGGAACTCACCTGAAGATCTCAGAGGAGGTTTTTAGGGTTTAGGGTTCAGGCAAGGAAACGTGTGGATGGCTAAGCTCCTCGATTTCTTCCAATGGCCTTGGCTGCACGGACAACAGAGCCATGCAGGGCTCCAGCATCGTAGCTACAGGGGCTGTGTGTGTCAGGGCTTCTGCAGGCCCACTTGTTGTCGTCGTCGTCGTCGTGGCGGATTCTATTGACAGCGGCACAATACGGCGGTTGCATTTAGCGTAGTTATGATCGCGGTCGAGGCCTACCGTTCTCGTAAGCACTCATCCTTCACGGTTTAACAGTTTCCTCCACTCAGGACCCACAACACGAAACCCTGGATGCTGACGCGCTCACGCACAACGTCGGCAATCTGGCAACCCTGAAACGCGTATACAAACCCCAGAAACCCCCCCGAGCCCAAAAAAAACAATGCCCCTGAAAAAAATAAAAAAAACATACATACGCCGCGTGGCGCGCTTCCGCGGCCCAGGATTTGCTGGAATCCCGCTCGCACCTTTCGCGAACGAGGGGAGCTCGTAGACCCTGTTCATATAGGGGCGAACACGGTCTTGGGGCTCATTACACCGATTATGTCGTCGTAAGAGGGGCTACAAGGGCAGTACTGTTGGCAAACATTGTCTTCAGGGGCTTTCTGGTTTCAGCACACTAAGTAGTGTCATGTGCGGTTTTGCTGCTGCTTCTTCTTGCTGCACCATGAATGTATGTTTCGAACGTGGTAGCGCAATCTATGCCGTGATTGTCACTAGAAAGAATACCTTCGTTGCTGTGCTCTTGCCATCAGCGTGATGGCTCATCGCCGATATCGTTGGCAGAAGATGGAATAAGATTCCTGATGGAGGAAGTTGACAATCAAGCCCTTTTTCTCAAGTCCCAACATACTCGAACCCATGTTGCAGTACATTATACTATACTATAGTATTCTATAGCATACTGTAGTATATTACACGAAATCACGACCAGGTGGCTCCTAAGCGGGTTGCAAAAGTCGGATGCTTAGGACTTCACGACTACACACCTCTCGGCCTCATGCAGCTCAAGGATGCCATCGCCATTGGCGTCGAGCTCCTTGAAGACCTGACAAGCGGCCCTCGGGCTCCGGCTGCGGAAATAGTAGGTTACGAACCGTAGAGTATGTAACCCAGTAGCCCATCATTTAGGTAAATGGAGGTCTAGGGTAGCGTAGGATTTAAAGGTGTTTAGGGCTGTTCAGGTCTAGAGTTTAGGGAGTTTAGGACTTCAAGCACTGCGTCAGGTAGGGGCTGTAGGTAGCGGGGCTTCGGATTCACAGTCCGGCGTGCAGAGTTGGAACACTTAGTCCCTCCGGAAGAGATACGATAATGAAGCCTTCAAAACAATCCTGAGCCGCACAAAAGTTTCAGAATAAACAGGACCCCCTTTCAACTCCTAGCATCCCTATGTGAGGGACCTCAATCTTATATCCTTCTGTAGCACATCTGAATCCCTTGTTCAACCCTCATAGAAGCCTAAAAGAACCCCATAAGCTAGGACCCGAATGCAACCCTCCTAGAACCCTCCGAATGCAAGCCGTACATTTAACACACAAAAACCAAAAACAACAAACCCTCATACATAGAACCCGTTGGGCTATAAACCCTTGTGAAACCCCTTACAAAAACCATAAGGAACCCTTATAGAAGCCCCAATGGATAGAACCCAATTTAAGAACCCTTCCCCAAAACCCGACGAAAAGCCTGCTCCAGCTCTTTGAGGCCACGCCGAGAGAGCTGCTGGGCCACCGAGGCAGCGCAGAGCGACAGGAAGGTGGAGTTGTTGCTAAATCGACGCCTCAGAGCTTCCGGGTTACTGCAACAGTGACTGTAAAGGGTACGACAAGGGTTGCTGTAAGACTTACCACAAGGCATACCATAAGGCTTGCTAGGAGGGCTTAGGGCTTCCCGGGTTTAGGGTTCGAGGCTGAGGAAAATTCTGTGATCGGGGTTTTGCCACACTACGGTACATAGTCCGCAGGGAACATGACTTTCAGGCCAAAACCCGGCTGCAGGATGTCTTTAGGAAGGTTTTACACGGTATCGTACAGACTGTGTATATGTATATATAGACACATATGTTTATGGATATGTAGAGGTTGCCTTTGGCACTGACTTTTGACACAACATCCTTAACTCTTCATGGTTGACTCATCTTTGCAAAGTGCTCCAGTCCTCGGCCCGCTTAAGCAAAGCATCAGCATAAAGCATAAAGCCGGAAACCTGGGTACCGGAGGCAGCATATACGGTTCCCCCCCGCCCGGATAGATAGACAGAGAGATTTCAGAGGGGGTGTTACGGTTGTGAAACCTAGCGCACGAGTTAAGGTTGAAGTCTCTGTAAACCGTATGCCATTGACCAGTTAAGCGCTTCTGGCTGAAGTTCGGGGTGTCCTGCTGGGGGTTTACAGATTTGGCGCTGAAGATCTACTGGAATCTAGCGCTCTCCGAAGGAGAATCCCTTGCCTCAACATCCCAAACCCTGAAGCGCTTTCCCTGCATGCCCGTGAGCCTTAAACCCCGAAGCCTAGACCCCGAAAACGGCCTGTACCCCAAGCTCTCCAAGGCTGAGCGGCAGGTTTTTGAGGACTTCCGTCTTGGAGCTCATGATGCTGGGCTGCTCATCGTAGGTCCTTGTTCCGTGTTGATTTCGTGGTTAGAGTTTTGGATTTAGGTTAGAGGTGAGGGCCTTGAGGGTTTGTGACCGTGCTGAGCTACAGGAGGAGCAGGAGTGACATTGCGACGGCCAGGGTACGGAAGTAGGGAATGCAGACCACATCAAGAGGGACACTGAAAACAAGAACACTGTAGATTCCACCATCGCCGTGACAATCACCACCATCAGTGGCGGTGCAAACAAGCTAAGCTCGACCGAACAACGAATATCACCATCGGCCTCGTTCGTGTCACGGGGAACCGTGCGGATAAAGATAACAGTGGTGCGCATGTACCCGTAAGTAAACACGTGCGCAAATCTATGTGTGCATATACAAACATAAATCTTAGAAACAGAAACATACACACACACACGCACAGGGACACGTTTTCACATGTGTCTTGTTAAACGCATAACGATCATCGTACTGCTAACCGTAAAGGGTATAAGTGGCAAGATCAAATACAGCAGGCAAATGCAGCCCATTTTGATCAAAGTATGGCCTAAACTAGCAGTTGATGCGTACACGCATCAAATTGCTGCTACTCGAACCTCAAACCCGAAACCCTCAAACCCCCAAAGAAAGCTGAACGGAAAGACGACTGAGAAGAAGCGGTCGCAAAAACCGAGGCCCTAAGCCCAGAACCCTGACACAGAGGCCTGTCGCAATTGAACGAATTGACTCATGTGTGTATGTATATGTATACATATATGTATGTATGTAGGTATGTATCTATGTATACCTACCTACATACATGCATAGATACATACATACACGCATACCTACATACATACATGCATACATACATATGTACATACATTATGTACGTCCCATTGGTACAAAACTACATTCCCGGTCTTCTCGGCCAAATGCTCGAACCTGGAAGTGATTGAAAACCCGAACCGAAAGCCTGCACGGCAAAGCCGTGACTACAGGACCGTGCATCCTGGAATGCTACTTAGAGGATCATGGGACTTAGTAACTAGAGTTATAATCAAGGTAACTATACTTATCATTACTCATAACCCTCTTAAGGTAATTGTAACCATACTTACTAAGTCCCATGATCCTCCAAGTACTCATGGTCGCCGGAGCAGAAGAGCGGTCTACCACTACTACGAGCACCAGGTGGCACAGTGTGAGCCGACAGGAACATGATAGTAAAAACCCTGAACCCAAAACCTCAAGCCCTCAATCCCACGCCAAGGCCTCAACCACGCGTGGTTCAGGACCGCATCCGCACTCGGCCGCTTGGACGGGTCCCATTTTAGCCTGGCCGTCTCAAGAATCAGAGGCGTCGGGTTCAGGATGGTTGTCGGTTGAGGCAGCTGAGAGTTTTTTGGACTGCCCACAGGTCTGGGGGAGGGCACTTGGGGTGTGGAGTTTAGGGTTTTAAGTTCGATGTGGGCTTAGCCACAGATTCCCTGAAACGAAGCGAAAAATTTCAACTTAGAGCCCTCCGCCCTCTCTTGCCGAGCAGCAGGGAAGTTACCAGAGATCGCGCGTCGGACGACATCTTCTCCCAGATTGGCCCGTGCGGCGCAAAGTCATGCTGCTCATCGAAAGCATTCCCGCCGTAGTTGGGAGGCTCTCCTCCAATGTATATAGTAGCAGTGGCAGTGGCAGTTGCACGAGCAGGAGCAGAAGGTAGGTAGGTAGGTAGGTAGGTTAGTAGTAGTAGTAGTAGTAGTAGTAGTAGTAGTAGTAGTAGTAGTAGTAGTAGCAGCAGCAGCAGCACTGGCAGAAGCAGTCGCTCAGGGTCGCTCTGCTTTTAAGAGTCTCTGGGATCCGTGGCTTTTGGAACGTGGGACACATGTCCTCATGCGCTTCACTCCCTGCATTGCAGAAGATACAAACGGTAGTCCAGGCCTGTTGAGCTCTGCTCAAAGCGCCATAAACCCTGAAGCTCAAGCCCTGTGACAAAAGGAATGGGCGATGTGCCTCACAACAAGCTTTGCATCTTAGGGCATGGGCAGAGCCGAGTTGACGCCATTTCCAGCACTAAAGGGTTTTTAGGAGGTTAGGGTTTAGGGTTTGAGGCTCCAGGTACATGTCTCCCTTGAGATCCCAATACCTCTTAATTAAGGAATATACCTTAAATCATAATATTAAGCCCTCTACAATTTAAGGTATATTCCTTAACTAAGGGGTATTGGGATCTCTCTGTCCACATCTGGCCTGAAAGCATCACGCATGCCATCGCGCCCAAACTCCAGAGATCGCAGGCGCTGGTGTAGGCACCACCTGGGAGGTTTCCGAAAACGGGGGGACCCTAATAGAGTACCCTAAATACTAGGATCCTTATTATATCCTAATACAGTACCCTAAATACTAGGATCCTTATTATAAGGACCCCAAAATACGGTACCATTAATTCTTGGAAACTCCCACCTGAGGACGAGGAGCCGGACAAGGCTCCGTCAGAGAATTCGTAAACGGGGGTCCCGAAGGGTTACTATAAGCGTATTGCAAGGGTTGAAAGTACGAGCCTTAACAATTAGAATAGGATCTTGGATATAGTCTGATGTGGTAAAGCACACCTGAAATATCGATAGGGAATGGCATTTTACCTAGTTCGGCCTCTATGCTGCAAGAAAGCCTCAAAGTTTGGGCTTGTCGTTTCAAGGTGTTCTGTTTTACGTGCTTGTCCAGAGCCTGGACTCTAAGCCTTAGGAAGTTCGAGATTCAGCACATGGACAGGGGAACAACATGCATGATGCTGAAAACTACACCATGGCCGATGAACAGCAACGGGGATGACAAGAAAGATGACAGACAGCAGTCATAGTAGCTGTAGCTGTAGCTGCCATCCTCCATGTTGGAAGCTAAGCTTTAAACTCAGACCCTGGTGTAGCTCAAGGTCCCGGATCCGACCTCCAACCGGTCGCTGGACTTCGGGGGCGGCATAGGCACCACTTCCGACCGCTGTGTTCATCCGGGAGCGCCTCATCTTTTGGGGTACAAGGATCTACAATGTACAAGGCTTTGTGTGTTCGCACATGGGGCTTCCGTGTCTGAGGTGCGGAGTTTCAGGCTCGAGGTACACCCGCAATGCATGCCCGAAATACCCGCGACCATACCCTCGACCCTATCCCGTTATCCAAATAGAAAAAACACCCTGAGCGCCGAGCGCTGTCACAAACACAAGATTTGGGGACTATCGGGGCCTTACGAATTAGAATAGGGTTCCATTTAGGGGTTCCTTAAAGGGTTCTATAAGGGATCTGTAATAGGGTTCTGTCAGGGCCAAGGGCTTCCGGCGTTTACTATCGGGGTCCTAACACTTAGACTAGGGTTTTGGGGCCCCTTTTACTGCAATTATAATAAGGAACCCCCATAATAGTATGTAGGTAAGTCTTATAAGGCCCCTGTACTACGGCCCTCCTCAGGAGCGCCTGAAGTAGAAGCCCAGGCCCCAGTCGATGACCTTCACGCGCGTGTCCTGCATGTCCTGAGCAGGTCGATGCTTAGGGCTTCGAGTTCAGGGCCTGAGGGCTTGGGGCTGAAGGCTTAGGGTTCAGGGCTTAAGGTTTGAGGCTTCGGGTTTAAGGCTGAGGGTTTAGGGCTGAGGGTTTAGGGCTGAGGGCTTAGGGTGTCAAACAGTATGATTTCTTCAAATAGTTGGTGCACTCCAAGGGATCTTGCCTTTGAAGACTTTGCGGGCTTCACGGCTCAGGCCCAGGCCCAGCACGTGCTAGTAGTCTGGAGCTGCTCTGACACCTTTGAATCTCAGACGCTAGTCCCTAAACGCGACCACCCTAGATCCCAAACTCGAATTCTTTAACCCCCGTAAGAATCCCCCGAAACCCTCAATTTCCCATTCCCCCCGTCCACACACAACCAACTCAAGCAAACAGAAAAAACGTATCAGAAATCCGAGCAGAATCCCTGAAACCCCAAAGCCTAATAGAAGCAATACAGGACAGTAGGCAGATACAAGTCTTCAGGCCTATACTAAGCCACTAAGCCCTTGTCAACCCTACAAACTACAAACCCTCGAATCTCGGAACTCTTTGCGGAACCTTTAAACAAACCCTGAACCTTAAACCTGAACCCGTAAACCCTAGTCCCTGAACGCGAATCCCTAAACGCTAAACCCTATTCCCCAAACCCTCTTCACTAAGCCCTAAGCCCTAAGCCCTGATCCCTAATCTCAAAACCCTAGAAACCTTATAAACCCTACGAAACCTAGAAACACGATAAACCCTAAGAAACCCCTAATCTCAAAGCCCTCGAAACCGACTGAAACCTACAACACCTAGAAACCCTAGGAAACCCAAAAAGCCCTAGAAACCGAATAAACCCTACAAAACCTAGAAACGCTATGAGTCCTAGGAACCCCAAAAAGCCCTAGAAACCCTTTCAACTTCAAAGCCCAAGCTAAACCCTAAACCCTAAACCTAAAACCCTAATCCCTAAACCCCCTAAAAGGGCTTCTTCTTAGCCCAAGCTAGGGGCCTCTGAGCAGAAGCAGACGTTCTCTGGCTTCAGGTCTCGGTGAGCGACCCCCTTCTCGTGGGCGTGCCTTGTTGTGGGGCTGGGGGTATCTATCTGTATAAATATGTGTATGTATTGTATGTATATATATATATGCATATTATATTGTATATATATATATGTAGATAGACAGGTTTAGGCTTTAGGCTTCAGGGTCTAAGTTTCAGGGCTCGTGTTTTATAGGTTAATAACCTGGTTTACGATTCTATGGGGTTTTAAAGGATACTATCAGGATCTCTATACGCGACGCCGTACAGGTTACTACAATCACCAACAACTGTCTGGTGCTTAGTAGCAAGGGTGGAATGGATCCCTAAAGTAGTCCCTGTATAATCCCCAATAATAGTCACTATAGTCCATTCCCCCATTCCCTACTAAGAACCAGACGGAAGAAACCCTATAGATCCCTTTATCGAACCCTTCTAAATCCCCTTACAAGAAGCAGACAGAGGAGCCTCTCACAAGTCTGCCGAGGCGCTTCAGTGCCCCGGCAACTTGCCGGAGGATCTCCGCGGCTTCTGCTTCAGAGATTCCCCCCTGCCTGCATGGGGACTTCCATTGCTAAGGCCCCTATAGAACCTTACAACAGATCCCTTGTAGAACCCTTTGAAGGAACCGCATTCTAACTATAAAGGCCCCTACTTCAATGTAGGAAGCTGCTTAAGCAACCTTGGGCCTTTGTTAGGGTTCCTTATACGAATGCTACTATTTTGGGGTTATAGGGCCAGGGTTTCTTAATCAGTTTCCTGCATTGAAGCTTGAGGGTTCAGATTCGGCAGGACTTGTTTTGCTGGGTCTTAAGGCTTTCGGCCAAGATGCGTGCAGTGTTGGCTTGCTGTCGCGACCCCCGCACCCAAATACGGGTCCGTGTAACCCTAGTATGAGCCCCACACGACAGTTTTCTGAATTCAAGGACCCTAAATCATTCTAAGGAAACCCCAGTGGGACCCTTGCAAGGCCGTAAACCCTCTAAGCTAAGGGCTTCCCCACTTCGAGTTCGGGGAGACCGGGGTTTGAAGTTCCGAGTTGAATTTAAACTGTGGCGTCATACGGCGTCTAGGAGGGTGTGGGGGTTTAGGGTTTAGGGCTTTTGGGTGTAGGGTTTGCAGACTCAGCGTGCCCTGCAGCTGAGCCCGCAACTTGTCGAGTTTGGGTCAACTCCCAAGACTTGCCTCAAAATACGGTCGAACAAATCACCGCCGGCGCAATACTCCATCACGAAGAACACATGGCGGCCGTGGTCGTAGCTTTCGTACACCCGGCAGATGTTGGGGTGGTCCAACTCCTTTCTGCCAGCATCATGTAACACACGGCAAATCAAACAAGACTCCATGATATTATGCAATTGTCGCAACACATGTCGGAGTACATAGCACCCGATCGTGCTTTCTCCTGTCCGCTAAGCTGCGAAAACGGATTATGGGTACAGCACACGGTGGACCGTATGTGTTGAAGCAAAGCCCAGCACAACATACTTTAGTCCCGGGTCCTTCATGATCCTCACTTCTTGCTGGAAGTTCTGCCTCATGTCCCCGTCAAGCATCACCTGGGCTCTGGTCAAGGAAGTTAGCTAAAGGTGCCACAATGATGGAACCATGTCATTTACTGCACATCCCACTTGCAGCGATACAAATTTAAGTTCCTTAACCCTGCGAATCATACGGCACTCTTATGAAACCCGATAGACAGCATATTGCATTCAAAAAGCGTTCGAAGCAAACGAAACTACAATAAAACCTAGAAAAAAGCTCTCTTCACAGTTCCCCACAACCCTAAACCCCTAAACCCCTTATAGATCCCTACCCTCAAAGGAACCCTTAAACGAACCCTCACCAGGGCCCAGGCACGGCCTTCTTGATGGCCACCTGGCGGTCCGCCATCTTATGGTCCTTGGCCAAGTAGACGCTTCCGAAGCCCCCGGCGCCGAGCTCCTTGTCATCGAAGTCGTACCTTTTGGGGCTTGGGGGTTGGAATTAGGGGTCCAGAACTGCTCTGTGCGGTTTGTGGGGGGTCCCGCTTCCGCTAGAACCGCTCTGTCTATGCACTTTTGATGGCTGGTCCCTCTCTTCGCCTTGCGAAGATGTCTTCGTCCAGGTGGTCCGGGATCAAGGCTTTCAGGTCGAAGCTTGGCCCCGGTTGGGGAGACTTCGGGGGGCTTGGGTTGCCCTTGCACGGGCTCACACCCGGGGAGCTGCCCCGAAGGCCCGTCAAAGGCAGCAGAGTGCCCGGGAGACTGCGCGCGGGGCTGGCGGGAGGAGTGGCCTGCGGGCTCTTCGCTCCTGGCCTCACGGCTCCCAGAGGCAGGCTGAGACCCGGCATAGCCGAAGACGCAGGAGGCACTTCACGTGGGGCGTTTGGGCGTTTTCATGAGATCCTTGTGCTCTTGCACGTCGTAACACTTCTCGCTCTAGGCTGGTGCTGCTGGTGCTGCTTTGCACTTGGATGGCTATGAGATGCAAGTCTTGGCCTGAGGCTAGAAAAGGTTCCCAACAAGCGGAAGAAGCCATCAACAAGTGACATGCCACAAGCATACACAGTTCCCGGATAAACACGGGCTCGACCTCATGTGGTGGCCAGTCAAATTCTGCTTCGCGGTGTTCTGCTGCCTAAATGGCAAAGCGTGCACAACTCATCGCTATAACGACTGCGCAGTACAGGAGCTGCGACTCAGGCTGATTCACATCATCTCTGCCCTACAGCGTCTGATGTAGGGGCCTTCATAACTAAAATAGGGTTTGGGGGCCATTATACTATGATTATAAATAAGGAACCCCCAAACAAGTATCGGTAATTCTTAAGGCCTCTACAGCGTCTTCTGGCAGAGCATGTCTCACTAGGAGACCAACTCCGAGGCGCCGGCAGGTCAGCCATGAAGTCGTACCCCTCCAGATGAGTAAACTGCACGTAGACCGCCCCACTCAGCAGGCGGCAGTAGATTTTGGCCGTGACTCCCTACATCCTCAACCAACCCTGAGAAACACGAAAGGCACAACAAAGCAGGACAAGGCAGTATAGCACAGCATAGTATAGCATAGTTTAGCAGAGTATTGCATCGTATAGCAGAGCACAATTAGTATCGTCTTAGCTTGTGGCTTGGTACAGTACAGTATAGTATACCCGAACGCCCTCAGCCTTCATACAATACTATCGAGGCCTAAATAATTACCAATACTATTTTGGGGCTTCCTTGTTAGAACTAAGTATAATGGGCCCCAAAACCCTATTCTAATTGTTAAGGCCTCTAGATTAGAGCTCTCCATCGTCGAAACTCATCCCACAGTGTCACACCGGCAGCTTGGCTGCACACGTGAGGGCTGCCATGGTACAGACAATGACCTGAGTTTTGGCTTTCTGGGGCTATAGAGTTACTACATTGGTTACATTTTAAGTATTACTGTATAATAATTCCCACATTGGGGTTGCTATATAAGGCGAATACACGCATTACGGCTGAGTTTGGGGGACAGGAATTAAAGCTCTTGGTAGCTGTAGGCGATGGGGTCCTGTCCTCGGCAGGATGATGGAGCGCAGGTCATTATTTCCGGTATTATTTCCGGTTCAGGGTGCAGGGTTGCGGCAGGGGTTTCTTGTCGACATGAGCCAAGCACTGCAACTCTGCGACTTGCCCGTGCAACGTCTCCTGAGACTCTGGCTGAAAACAGCCGGAGCCACCATGGGTTGTCGGTGCAACTGCAGGGCAGCAAGGAATGCAAGCCGATGGTCACCACCATTCTTCCAAAGATGTTCGGCACTAGGATGTTATTAGCATGACCTATACTGCATAAGGAGGGCCACACATTGTGATATCTCCTAAAGGCGGTTCGCCCGGCATACCCCTGCTATGGATCACTGGGTACTCGGGCTTCTTACGCTAGAAAGGCAGAGTCTGAATCGAAAACGGATTCTCTGCACTAGAGCGCAGATTCTTATGCGCTCCGCTAAACGCAACCAAACAGTTTTTCGAAGCGGCACGTTTCCAAAGCCCGAACCCCAAGCAAGAGCTCCACACTGAGCCTCAAAGAGAGACCTCCCACCATGGCTTTCAGGTCTCCCGCGCGACTTTGGCGTGAGGGAGATACGAGCAGTGGGCGGCTTTTTCAGGCTTTTTCGGGGTTTAGGGTGTAAGGATGAAGCGGGGGTACGGTTGTGGCTAGGCTGAAACCGAATGCGCTCTCTTTACAAGAGCTTTTCCTGTGATGGCGACATTTGCAAGAATTGGAGCGAGAGTTGTAAGGAATGCTGAGAGTCAGGGTCAGTGGGGCTGGCTTATCAATCCGACAGTGGCTCGCATTGCTCGGGTGGTGTTCGGTTCCGCACGACATCCCGAATCTGCTTCGCTTTCAAGTGCCTTAAAAGCAATAGTAGCGATCATAGTAGCAATAAGTCTAATAACAATAAGAACTAGCAATAGAAATATTGGTACTGGCCAACAGTCTGAGCTGCGAAGGTGGATAAACGGCAGCGCGAGCGAGCACTTCCAATCACCGGGCCCTGGAGGTTAGCCGTCGCCCTCTGGCCATGGGAGTTGCTCTCGAAGAGCGGCTTAGGGCCTAGGGATCCCTGCACGACCGACTGCATCATCCTTTCTTCACCCCGCTATAGCACGGGCAGGTGGTCACCTTCGACCGCCTTTGCCCTTTGCCAACAAAATCCGCATCCGTGGCAAACAGTTCGGTCTGACGCACAACGGTTCTTGAGGTGTTAGGGTTTAGGGTTTAGGGTTATGCGCCTTCCCCATAATGTAGGGGCCCGAAAAATTACCAATACTATTTTGAGGTTCCTTATCACGAATATAGTAGTATGATGACAAAATGTAGTCAAAATTAAATAAGCATGCATGTCAGGAACAAAGTCGGAACATCGAAACGAAACATTACAAGGCAGCAGTCGTCACAAAAGCATGACACATGTTGCACCTGCTACTCTTCCTCCTCCTTGCTCCTACACCCTCCTACGGCTGCTGCTACTGCTACTGCTACTGCAACTGCCACTGCAACACTGCCACTGCCACTGCCACTGCCATTGCTACTGCTACTGCTACTCCTACTGCTGCTGTCACTCACACTACCACTACCACTACAACTTCTGTGGCTTCTACTTTCGCACTACTGCTGTCGCTGGCTGCTGATGCTCCTGCTATTGCCACCGTCAGCAAGAGCTGGCGGAGGAGGACGATGACGACGTTCGTGCTGCTGTCATGGTTCCCGTCGCTCAGGCTACTGTTGCTCCGCCCGTTGACTGCGACTACCCATGACTACCCCCTGCAGCGCAAGGGATCGCAGGAATGTTCAGGACACCACTGCAATCATCACGAATCGGAACTTATGAACAAAATCGTCACCATCGCAATAACCACCACCACCACCACCGCCACCACCACGGCCTTCAGTACCGTCACCGTCACAGTCACCACGAGTATCGACAGTGGCAACATCATTGCCAAAAAACGTCTGCAAGACTATTCGAACCGCAGGCCATTTCTTAAGACAACACTCGCTGCACCAGACCGAAAAGTGGGCGCCTAAGATTGAAACATGCAAACTTGGCGAAGTGCTCCATAGTGCTGTACATTGAATAGATGGCACAAATTGGCCTGCCCCTGTGTCCTGACATCCTTGTCGTCTTGATGGACGGACACCATGTCGCCGTTTGTCACATTGATGATAGTACTGGTCACTTCTGCAGGCATCGCAGCAGCAAGGGCAGCAGCAGCAGCAGTAGGAGTAATAGTGGTTTGTTCGTCGTCCTCGTTGCAATTAGGTGCCCGACTGGCTCTCACGTGTGTTCGACTTACTTCGATTGGTTGCAGCATCTCGGCTGTAGCCTTTGGGATCTAGGACTTCCGAAGCTTTGGGAGGGCGGCCAACCGTGCAAACCCGGCTCGGACCTCGGCGGTGCCTCGAGTTGGGATAGGCTGTACCAGAGGCCTTGGCTTGAAACAAACTTTGGAGCCCGCGAACATGCGGATTTTGGCTGAGGGTCGTGTAAGTTTCGAGTTTCGGGCCCTAGCGCTTCGCGGCGAAGAGCTGGCGATAGGAAGTGGAGCTAAAATTCCCTGCGTTCAAGCTCGAAGCTCTGAAGCCGCACTGGAATGCCTGTCTCCCTGAAAACTCTGCACTTGGGCCTGCTGCTGCTGATCCCTGGTTTAGGGTTTCGGGTCTGCGTTCGGGCCGTTTTTAAGATTCACTTGGCCTGGGTGTCCTAGACCCTGACAGTGCACCAAACCAAAGTCTCGATCCGTCAGCCCTGAGCCTTACTTATAGTCTTATTATAGCATAGTATTATTATTGTAGTATAGTATAATTATAGTATAGTATTATTAATTATAAGCCACCGAGCCAGAACCTGAAGTCCCAAATCGGGAGTTTCCGAAAATAGGGGATTATAATAGAGTACCCTAAATGGCATAAAGACCCCAAATAAGGTACCCCCCAATTTTCGGAAACTCCCATACTGTGGAAAATATTCGGGAACCTCTTTTCAGCAAGAGTGTATCTTAGTCGTTCGTGGGCCCCTTATCTCGGGGCCTGAATAATGAGAATAGGGTTTGGGGCCATCATACTATACTTATAATAAGGAACCCCAGAAATAGTATGGGTAATCATTTAGGCCCCTATATTCGAGTAATCCCTGAGTCGTCAAACCAGCTCCGTCCCCGGCCGCCTCGAGCGTTAGAACCTCAAGATAGAACGCTCTGGTCGCTGCAAGAGTCTCAAAGTTCTGTCAAACCTCCAACCCTGAACCCTACCTGCGAAGCCTTAAACCCGAAGCCTAAGAACCCCAAACGGGAATCAAATCCCTAAATTCAAACCTAAATCCCTGAACAACACACCCAACCCTTAACCCCGGAATAGAAAACTCTCAGACAAAGCCAAGACTCTAGGTTGCCTGTTCCCCTTCCGCCGAAAGCGGTCCCAGCACGGATAGCGCACAAAATTGCCTTGGTGACAGCTCCCTTGAGTCTGAACCGCATAGCTCACGGATTCAGAGTGCATATGAGGGTGAAAGATTTTGAGGTTGTGGGCTTTTCAGGGTGTAAGGCTTAAGACAAATAATAGCAGCAGTAACACTACTTGTAGTAGTAATGGATGGTAACAGTAGCACCAATAGCAACAGCAATCGTAATAGTACTAATAATCATCGTTAAGTACCATGTAGTCGCGCTAACACGTACCTAAACCCTAAACCCTACACCTCAAGACGAGTCGAGACCAATTGGGCCGCTCGCTTCATCGATCTGTCAGGCTCTCGGCAGCCAGCAAACCTTCCAGCCAGCCTCGTAAGGTGCGGGGTGAAGGGGTTAGGGGGTTTTAGGGGGTTTGGGAGTTTAGCGGCTTAGCGCGTAACGTGGGAGCAGGACTAGGGCCTGTGATCAGCCTGGCTGGATTGAAGAAACTCCATGAACTGACATCCAAGCATTCGTGAACATACCGGCTGCCCTGAGACGACGATTCAGAGCCGCAGGCTGTTCACGAACTCGGCACTCATCAGCATGTTGCCCCTGGCAGGGTCGCAAATCTTTGATCATGCCTTGTCGGATGGAAACACGCAAGTCACATAGGGCTTACTGAATGGAACAGTGTTTTGGTGCAAATTGCCCTATGCGTATACTCAGGAACCCTACAGGAAAATATTACGAAGCATTCTGCAGTAGATTTCGCAGAGCCTCAGACCTTCGGACACTGAGGCTGCGGCTCGGGCTTCTTGAGGTCCGGAAACTCCCAGAAGCCCGACATGGTCGCCTCACACAAAAGCACAAGAGACCGCGATTCTAGACACCTCCGGGTCCGAAGATGTCAAGAGTCTCTTCGCCGATCCACCAAGTGCCTGAGCCAAGTCCCCCCAAAGACCCGGAATCGGATCAGCCGGCACCTTGACGTTGTGCCAGGCTTTGCGGTCGAAGCGGTTGTCCATGTTCTCAATGCTAGCCAGAGCAGACCTGCGCATCAGGAGAGATCATAAACAAAAAGATTGGTCATGCTATAGATAGGGTATGTATAAGGCTTAGGGGTTGGGGGGATGTATAAGGATTAGGGTTTAGGGTATGTCACGGCAATCACTGCGCATGCTTCCGTACTAAGTTGCCCGCTCAAAGGCTTTCTGCACGCAGCGAAACTCTGCCACGCGCCTCACTGGAGCCATGATCTGGGGCCTGGCACTGGAGGGCTTCAGTGAATCAAGGATTGCTTTTTGGTGCGGTAGCATTGAGAACCCTACCATTTGGGGGTCTACATTGAAGTGCCAAGACCCCGGAAGGATGCATAGAAGTGCTTACAGCTACTTGCGAGAGAGAGCGGCCACTGTCCACTTCAGCGAAAAGAAACATGGGCCTCAACTGCTCCTGGTGAAGCTTGCCCTGGGCCAAACGAAGCTTGACACTTTTGGGTGGTTTCAGAAAGTAGGAGGCTTCTACTGCTATTGACCCAAAATAGTGACATCTTTCATGCACGGACCCTGAATAAGGCCGAATAAGCCATTACGATTCTTACAAGTGTTACATTTTCTACGCCATTTATCACTATGACCGACCATTGACTATTATAACTAGTATTCCTGTCACGACCATTGCTACTATGACTGTTATGATTGTTACTAGTGATGCTACTAATATTACTGTTGTTGCTCTTGCTCTGTTTATCTTTGATACTGCTTTGTTTCTACTGCGATTCTCATTTGACTATTTCCTAGAGTGTTACTTCTACTTGCTTTCTAGGTGTATCACTCTTATTATAATTGCCGTCTTGCTATTCTGGGTAGTAGTACGGTTGATGATATAAATCCTGCATTACCTTGAGGACCCTAAAGTATGGGCAGTATGGCATATTCCTCATTATGGTCAATGCTGGATTTAGATCATCAACCGCATGTAGCCCTAAAATAACCCTACGTGGACTCCCTGGAACTAGACTGGCGAAGGGGACTCTGAGGGCAGCACAGTGTCCTTGGCTCCAACAACCTGGCAAGGAGGGAAGCGTCCAGGGTTTAGGGCCAAGGACTTAGGGTTTGGGATGGATTTTGGGTTTCGAGTTAAGGCTAGAACCGAGCAGAAACAGTAAAAGTATGAGAAACATCATTGCAACAGTGGGAAAGGAGCGCCAAGGAAGTATGGCATGAACACAACGACGATGATGACAAGAATCAAACCCTAGAACATCACAAACAGTGTGAGTTGACAAAAGCTGAATCATCAGGAAAGGCAGCCTTCTTGCCGGTTGGTGGAGGTCGCGAAACACGAACAGCAGCAATACTGCAATCACGATTCTGTGATGATGGCAATGCTGCCTGAGAAACATGCTCACTATCCGAAAAACAGCCACTGGTCGCTGAAGCCCTGGGCCCTAACTGAACCTGGTAGTAGCGAAATTGTAAACCGTCAGATTTCAAGGAAGCCGTAGCACCGCCTCCACGTCGAAGGTCTCTGATGGCGGAGCCTTCAACCCAGTCTGGCACCTGACTGCTGGTAGAGACGCGGTCCCGTCTTCTCTGGAAGGTGGGACTCCGGAGCTTCAGAAGGGGTTCGCAGGGTGAGAAAAAACACCATGTGATGGCACGAAGAGCGACCCCAATGCATGCTTGAGAATCTTCTGGTAAAGAACTTGAACCGAAGGAGTTTGACCAGATTTAGCGTCAAGGGTTTGAGGTTTTGCATCATCACCGCAATCATGGCAAGAAAGGGAACAGCAGCATTATGCGAGCTTCGGTCTGAGGCATGATGTGCATCATCTTCTGACGGCCATTACTACTATACACTGCAATTTTACGATCATCATTCTTGCATTCTTACTATTGATATTATTACTATTATTACCCCTATCCCAGAGACAGCACACGGAGTTTTTCAACCACTCGCGCCGGCAAGCCCATCCGTAGGACCAGCTTCCCGAAGTTTCGGTTCCGGCCCGGTGTCAGGTTTGGTCCGACCTGCAGAAAGGCCCGTCTCTTCATTCTGGCACACAACGAGGGGGCGCAATGTGTAGACCCTGCGGAAGACGGAAGGATATGAGCTACTCATGATCTGCATCTTTATAGTATACGATTCCTAGAAGGGAATTCTATGTCCCTCCTACGCGAACCGAAACTCACCGAATCGAAAAGCCTCAGCTTCAGGCGTAAAGCAGCGTCTCCCTGCAAACCACATGCAGTCCATCGGCTGCTCTGCTGACAAACTCGAGTACCTGAGCTGTCATCAAGTACGCTGCCATGGGTGCAGGGGCTTGTGGACGAGATTCTACGGCTGTAAAGCAGCATAGGCACCGAGAGGTCTGAGCAAGAAGCGCTGACGGCGATGCAATTCCAGACCGAAAGACCCAAAGCGACTGAGACCGGAGCATCCCCGCGTTTCAGGCTGACCTTCATTGAGGGGGGCGGCTTTCAGAGGATCTTGGGAAAGGCCTGAACAGAGGTATTGTTTGTGTGCACATTTAAAGGCTTTTGCTTTAAAGGGCTTCAGTTTGCGGTTCAGTGTGTGAGGGACCCATCATCTCGTGATGGATCTTGTCCATCTCATCATCCAGGCCTAGCGTCAAGAGCCGTTGCGCGGTGGCCTGTCTTCTTTGGGCTTAATATCGGGGCCTTATAATCAGACTAGGGTTTGGCGGGATATTATACTATTAGCAGAATAAGGAACCCCCGCGATGGTATAGGCAATCTTTCAGGCCCATATACTAGATGACGCGCAGAAGGAATGCTTCCCACACCGCTATGCTACTCGAAGCAGCGAGTGGAAGGGAAGGAGCGAGGGACGGCCCAAGAACAAGAATATCCAAGAGTTCTAGACCCTACTTAAACCCAGTAGAACCATAAATCCTTAACCTTCGAACCAGGGACCTTTGTCCCCTAACCCTGACCCAGCATCTTCCGAGGGCCTCAGTGCCCCGTAGCGTCGTCGCGCCCACGCTGCGCTGCAGCGTAAGTCTCTGGCCGGCCCGCATCGTGAGAAGGATCTGACCCAGGCAAAATCGCACGAAAAGAGAGCGTTGATGTAATTCAGCCGCAAACAGTATATCTGTACATGTGCGTATACATATAGTTATGATATATATATATATATATATATATACACATAAAAATATATAGAGCAAATATACCTTGTAAATATATATATATATATATATATATATATACAGGGGTCTGAATGGGCTTCCTGATGTAGGTACTTTCGTGCCGAGTTCTGTACAATATACTTGTAAGTATATGGAGCTCAGGGAACGGGACTGAACTACCCAACTTCCGAGGCAGGATACCAAACGAAACACGTAGAACAGCTGGAGCACAGTGCATGGCAAGTCTAACAGGGAGTATGACGAGATGTAGCATCCTAGCGTAGCATGTCCATCATATTTCCCAGTTCTGAGGCTCGTTTGCTAGAGGACCGAAGGCACGTCCATGGTTTGTGGAACTTCAGGATTCCGACGGACCATCTTCAATGACCCAACCCGAATGGTGAAATTACTTTTGGGTTCTGAGGTATTGAACTGTAGTACCTAAACCTCCCTTAAAGCAGGTAAAATAATGGCCCAATACCCATAAAAAAGCCATTATTCTACATACTTTTGAAGTCCAGGTAAACCTGTTTGGGTTGCAGCCCCGACACCTCCTTCAGATCCGGCGACGCAGGCGAGATGCAAAGAGGCCAAAGACGTCTAAGAAGCTTCTCCTGTCAGGCAGATCTCCAAAATTGATATAGGGGCCTTAAATAATTGGAATAGGGTTTTGGAGGATATTATACTATAATTATACGAGGGAACCCCCAAAATAGTATTAGTAATTCTAAAGGCCCCTATAGTACCTAGACTAGGGTTTCGAGGTATACAGTGCTGCAGTTGTATCGCGAACACAAAATCAGGTTTCAGCTTCAATTCTTAACGTGAAAGGCTGAGGATAGGGATCGGTTTCGAGGTCTTAGCAGCAGAGTCTTGGGCTTGCGTGGAGGAAGTTGCATGCTCAAGGTGTAAGATGCTGATGTTCGAGCCTTTCTCAATGCTTTTTGGCTTCTCCTGCACCGTTCCTGCAGAGTCCATACAGTAGCACTACACTGTGACAATGACAATCGTTGCCAGTGTCTTGCTCTCGGTTTGCATCGGTACTGCTCTTGCTGCAATGGACATTGGCACCGTGGTTCATGACCATCTTTGCTTCTTGTGCCTTTGTGTCATACCGTGCTACTGCGGTACAGGCCTTGTGTTCACAAACTATCCTCTTGGGAGTTAGGATTAAGGGGACCCTTGGGGATAAAGACCCTCTCAATAAGGTCCCCTTTAAGAGAGCCAGAAGTAGGGTTCAGAAGGGGTACCCTTTAAGGGGTCTCTCAAATAATACTACCTACCTCTTTGCGCGTGTTGATGGCCTTGTTGTTTGCACGGCGCCGGCCCTTCTTTTCTACTGACTCTCCGTGGGCTCCTTGTAACTCTGGCACTTGTTAGCAGATTGACCGTCTTACTCGTCTTTGCCCTCTTGCTCTTCTGCATATTCTAAACTCTAAATTCGCATGCTATTGCCTGTCTCTACTTTGATGCGTTAAAACACTAACGACGAGTTAAGTAGACTGTACTCCTCAAGAAGGTTCTTCTCTTGTTGTGGTCATACCACTTCCACTTGTAGTTCAGTGATAGTATTGCAGATCTCACGGGCCGTAGCTTCTACACCCACAGGCTGATGCACCTCCCGGATCAGCTCCCCCGGAGAATACGAAGTCACCGCCTGGTAGGTTCCGGGCTTCGGGGCCTAAGAGTTTAGGGTTCCGGGCTTTGGGGTCTCAGGCCGAGGGTTTCGAGATGAGCTCGAGGGCTGGCAAACCGAATTCGGCGGAGTAAACAACACCCGGGGAAGGGCTGAAAAGCACGCTCGTGCATCTCCGGGAACGGGGCAGTCTAAGTTCACTGCCGATTCCGATGGTACTCCTTTGCAACCTCTGTGTAATGGCACTACCCAATTGCTTGGTCACCAGAGATCTGAGCCCCCCGACTAGCAAACCTCCTCGCCGCTGAGACAGCGAAGTCAGAGTTGGGCCCCACATCTTGGCATACCTGGGGTCTCGCGCGTACAATAGCCTTTTTAAAACTTTGGAGGTTTAGGGTTTTGCGCCTGGGATTCAGCTTTAGGGTGAAGGTAGGGCATGCACCCATAATAAGGGAATGTCCCCTTAAATATGCATCAGGAGCCTTAAAAGATTTTGGGGCTCTCTTGGCGAATGATTCGCAGCTGTGTTACGCCCAGGCTGTCGGTGGCATGTCTTTCTTGGAAGGGGCCGATGAAGCAACCAAATCGGAATTCGAGGTCGATGGGGATACATCGTCCAAAACCGAGGTTGCACTCTGAGTTCACGTACCGTGCACTGCAACTCCCCCACAGAAACCCTCAAGCGTTCCTTTTCAGGCTTTAGGGTTCCTTTACGGGTTCCTCCTTATAGGCTTTAGGGTTCCTGTACAGAAACCGTACAAGGAACCAAAATCACATACCTTCATCCCCGGGTGTTCGGTGCAGCCGGGTTACTGAGGCACGCCCATCCCAGCCTTGCATGGCAATGGCACTAGTCTCGAGCTCCTAAACCCGACTTTCAGAAAAAATACCTCTTCTCACTTCTCCTCCTCTTCCTCCTACAACTACCACGACAACTACAACTACTACAACTACTACAACTACAACTACTGTAACTACTACCACCACTACTACTACTACTACCACCACCACTACCACAAGAGGAACCCCTGTGTCAACGAGGCGCGTTCATCGCTATGACAAGATCGGCCTGCGGCGGGAGGGCGTGTCTGTTTCCACGATTTGGCTGAGGTTTAGAGATAGAGCTTTGCGGGTTTACTTGGAGGGTCGGGGGACTTAGTAACTGGTTATTTTAGGGACTTATAAGTACCATAACCCCAATCAGGGCCCCTCTTAGGGTACTTATAAGTCTACTTATTACCTACTTACTAAGTCCCCCGACCCTCCAAGTAGGGGTTGAGGGCTTCAGGGCTCAGGCTCTAGGGTTTAGGTTCACTTGGAGATCGCAGGGGTTTTGGAGCTTGGGGCTCCGAGTCTTGGGCTGAGAAGGCTTGACCCAACGAAGATGGCGACTGCTGCCATTGCTGCTGCTCACGCACCGGGCAAAATTCGTACCAAATCTTACCATCCTGGACATGAGTTCGCAATCTCGGGTATGGTGAGACATGTCTTTGAAGAAAACAAATAGTCTTGAAGCTGTTCAACAAGTTTAGTAACTCGACAAACCCGCCAAAGATACATCGCGACTTGGGGAAAGAAGCAGGCTTCGCAGGAGAGATTTTGTGTCAATGAGCTGCAACTTCAGCACTCATGCGGCAGCGAATCTGCCTCGCAAAAAGCCGGAACACGAACTTGCCAAGCAACCTTCGATTCAATGTGCGACCCAAGACGCTAACAAGCGTCCCCATCCATCCAACCCCTTCACCAACCCATGAAAATTGACATCGCAAGCCCAGAAATGGGAGTTTCCGAAAATTAGGATACCTTATTTGGGCTCCATATAGTAAGGATCCTAGTATTGGGGGTACTAAATCATCCCCTGTTTTCGGAAACTCCCAAATAGGTTCCATTGGTACGGCCTGCGAGTCTGGGTAGAGGTCATGGTAAAGGCCTTTCCTTGCAGTCTGTTCTGATGGGAAACCAAAAGGGGCGGGTAAGATTCTGGGGGTAGGGACTCCTTAATATGAACCCTGTCATGGGAACCCTAATCCCTACTAAACCCCCATAGGCTAAAACCCCTTTTGGCCTCCTATGATGTTCTTTTTCGGCATCTGGGTTGGTCAGGAAGCACTAGGAAGAAAGGCATCAGAAATTATCTTGGGGACATGAGATCTCACCCACCTCCAGCATGCGACTGTAGAGCATGACAATGCAGCGCTATTACTGCATGTTCTTTTTGCGACACATATGTTCGCGTTACAACACCAAGCAAGTGGGTTAGTCGTTCGACGGAAGCTGCCAAGCGACTGATAGCAGGAATCGTAACAGGAACAAAACCAATACTACTGTTCACCTTACTTCACTAACCCGAAGACATTAATCTCCGCCTCTGATATTTCATACGAGAATTGTTTTGACGATCAATGTACAAGGAAAGGTTATGACTACGATAACTATGATGCTTAAGTATGGCATGTCATGACTATAACTCTGCTCACTAGTCTTGCTATTGGGTCGGGGAGCCTCACCTCAAGAACGAGATGGCGGCCTTCCACGTCCCGCAAGAGCTGGTAGTCCTCTTGCATGGGTTGCGAAGTTTCAGTTCTTGAGGGGATAGGATGAAGAGCTGAGGCTATCGGGTTTGGGGGTCCAGGGTCTGGCGCTTCGTTGTTCAGGCTTGATTTAGGAGGGTTCTGCTGGAGTTAGCTACGTTGCAAGACTCTTACAAAACGTCTTGAGCCCTTTCAAACCGAACGACGAGGCCCTACACTAGAACAACCCCACACTGTAAACCCAAAACCGCTTTCGCTTTAACGACCCTCAGAAACCTGCAACCTTGATTCCGAAAATCTAAAGCCCAAATCATGCAACCTCAAACCCAAGGCCCGCAGGCAAACCAAGGGTGCTGTGGGCCTTTCTGGGGCCTTTGGGAGGATTTTAGTTAGAACAGTGTTTTGCGATATATCATATAACAATCATAAGAATACAAATAACAGTAGGAGTGGTAACAATAGCAATGATAATTCTGACGATGATAGGGACTAACAATTCCGAGCCCTACCGCAGGATCTCAGCAGGGCTTAGGACGGGCTGCACACCTCCGGTACTTCTGGGCCGCACATTCCTCGGCTGAGGGCTTCTAGGGTTCAAGACTTTTCGACTTTCAGAAGTACCGCTCCTAGAACTCCTGATAGGAGGTTCACGGTTTAGGGTTTCGGATTTCGGAAGACAGGTGAAGTGTACAATAGGGATACCAACAGCTCTGAATCCCAAACCATGCAGGCAGCTGCCACAACCCCCAGCACTCAACAACTGCAGCTGCAGCGGAATCAAGCTCTCGACGCCCTGAACGTATGAGGAAATTGGTCGGCGACAGTGTAGCCAAAAGACGAGAGGACGGTGTGGCACCAGCAGAAACATACCAGCACAGAAAGACGCTCATCGCGACCCAGCAACAATGGAGCAGCACACATTCCACCGTTCCACCTTCCGAGCCCTCACCCCCTGAACGGCCAACCATAAACCCTTAACCCTAAAGCGTTTATACACCCTAAGCCCCTCTGATATCCTTATCGTAGCAAATAAACCCCTCAAACTGGAGCCTAAGAAGCTTAGAGCCTTCTTCCTTTAAGGCCAAAGCTCGGACGACCAGTGTCTTCAGGCCTTCGAAAAATGGGTGCAACTGTATCGGTTTAGGGTTGTCCGAAGGCTCCTTATCTTGTTCTGGTATACTGTATTAATATACATACAAAAAATGCTATGCTCTAGCATACCGTACTATACTATACCCTGTAGGTTTATGTCTTTACAAAGGTTCCTTACAGAGCTCTACCATATTACCGCTCCACATTCGAAATTCAGGGTTAGTGCTAGTAGTTATTTTTGATGATTCTTCCTACCGAGACGGCGATTAGTGTTGGTTGCCAGTAGTTCGTCGGGCACTCATGACGATGAAATTGTTTGTGGAGTAGAAGTGGCAGCAGCAGTAGCCCAAGCAGCAGCTTCGGGAAAGAGGTGTAGTAGTAGTCGTCGTCGTCGCAGTAGTAGTAGTAGTAGTAGTAGTAGTAGTAGTAGTAGTAGTAGTAGTAGTAGTAGTAGTAGTAGTAGTAGTAGTAGTAGTAGTAGTAGTAGTAGTAGTAGTAGTAGTAGTAGTAGTAGTAGTAGTAGTAGTAGTAGTAGTAGTAGTAGTAGTAGTACTAGTACTAGTACTAGTACTAGTACTAGTAGTAGTAGTAGTAGTAGTAGCAGAACGTAGTAGTACGTAGTAGTACGTAGTAGTACGTAGTAGTACGTAGTAGTACGTAGTAGTATGTGGTACAGTGAAAGTACTGTATAAGAACCCACTGTTTAAGAACCTGAGCCCCTACCCAAGGCGGAATTCACCAGATTCAAGCTGCCTCAATATTAAGAACCTTAGGGTACCCTAGTTTTTTGGGTCAGGTTCTTAATTTTTTGGGTGCTTTCCCTCACCAAGGAAATCTAGAATCGAAAACTAAATTTCCCAACCCTCCACATCAAGAAACCCTCTGCCCGAACATAATGAACGTATGATGGCTGGGCAACAGCAGGAATGCCTTGGCCCAAGCCACACCCCCGGCACCAGGAAGTTTAGAATCCAAAAGTAAATTTTCTGGAGGGCCCCTGGCCATGCCCTCCGCCCCGGGTCCTTTCGACGAGCTGTGGAAATTTAGAATTGAAAACTAAATTTTCCAGACCCCCATGGCCCACCGCCCCCCACAAGGAAACTTGGAATCTAAAAGTAAATTATCTGAGAGCCCTCGGTCGGATAAGAACGTGGCTAAGAACCTGAGCCTACTCTAGCTGCTCGAACGGCAAAATCACATGTAATGGAAATTAAGAACCTTAGGGTACCCTACTCTCGCCGAACGGGGTTCTTGTACAGGGTTTTCACTGTAGTTAGTAGTAGTAGTAGTAGTAGTAGTAGTAGTAGTAGTAGTAGTAGTAGTAGTAGTAGTAGTAGTAGTAGTAGTAGTAGATTTAAGGGGTTTAGGTTTAGTTGCCCCGAGGATTCAATGATTGGACTCCAGCCTCTTTGCCGCTAGTCTGGGTATTCAGAATGTCTAATTTGGGGCCCTATACCACTAAGGGTACTTTATAGGAACCCCCATTAAGGGATCTACTTTTTGGATCCTCACGGGGGTCTGGGCATGGAATTGCGGGTGCGCTGAGCTCTTCGCGCTTCGACGGATCTCTTGGGGGGGGGGGGGGGGGTTCGTTTCTGAGCGACAGAAGTGTAGATCCCTGGCGTGTATACACTCGACAAGAAGCCCTAAGCAGCGCAAAACATACCCGCCAGAATGCACAGCATCACTTCGACAGTATTTCACACGAAGAGCAAACTCAAAATTCGGAGCCCTCCGAGGCCGCAGCATTGTGGAAGGACCTGCTGCGAAGGTGAACCGATGCAGCGGTTCAATGTTCAAAAAGTTCAGGGGTGGGGATTTAGTTGTAGGTGATTCCACACCCTTGGCATCTTTCCGCAAGAGGGACAGAACTATCAAACCGATTGTGAACCCTGCGATCTCTTCCTGTACTGCACTTCCAACCTCAGAATTTGACATTAGTTCTTCTCTACTAACATGGGATAGCTACTTTCTCGAAAATGGCAACATGCCTACGACTTATGACAGCAAGAGGAGCAGTTATGGAAACAAGGTTGGTCATCGTCGCCAACATTATGAAAACATCATAAACATCATAATACCGACATTGTCCCCACTTCCATCATCAACATAAGCAAAAACAACAGCAAGAAAGAATTATCATCCTCAACACCGCCGTCATCACCACCACCATTCTTATCATCGGCATCATCCCAACAGCTGCAGAAGCAGAGGCAGTGGCAGTGACAGCGACGACATTACTTGCACTCTCGGCATGGCCTCGCCTGGATGATGGCCACCAGAGCGCAAAGAGGCTCATCCAGTTCCAGGGCCGGCCGGCATCCCAAGACATCCACAGTGAGCTCTGCCTGCCGCCGTTGCGACACGAAGCGACCCCAATAATCGTAATAATAATAATTATTATTGTAATAATAATAATAGTAATGATAATAATAGTAATAACATAACAACCAGAAGGCTCCCCATCACTGCGACTACAACAACTACGACAAGAGAAGCCGCAGCACACACACCACCTGACACGTAGCGGCAACAGTAACGGCAGTATTTGTGGCGGCGCTGCTAGAACAGGATGAGTAGTCAGAAAACTACACCAGCGAGCCTGAGCGCCACAGCTTTGACGATGCTCCAAGATGCAGTCGTAGAGGGTTGCAGCAAAGGTCTGCTCCAGTGGCAGCCCCGACTCCTGTGGTCGCAACTTGGAATCAAGTAGCATGTGCAATCAAACTGAGATTCGAAGCTTTAGCAGGTAGCTCATATGGGGTTCAGGAAACCTGAATCCGAAACTCCTTTGGCTCGCACTCCTCGGCAGATGACCCTATCAGGGGCCCACGGCGAAACTTCTGGGCAGCTGCGCTGAAGAGCCTCAGCTCAGCTGTGCGTGGGCTTTGCCTGGAATAAGAACTGCTCCAGCTCTAGCCAGCGAGGGAATCTTAACAGTCCTATCACTGCCTATCACCATCATCGATGCTATCATCAACAGCAGCACTGTCCTCTCATCTCTCGGAAGGCAACAGTTACTTCTGCCTGAATTGGATACACAAGATTGTTGGCAGCAGTGCCACTACTTGCTAGATGTCAATGTCTTGGCCAAGTTGAGGGCAGTGCTTTAAGCCATGCTTTTGCTACTGCGATTCTGACCAGTGAGCAGCGCATCTCAGAGATAAAACCAGAACCAGAAACCGCGACAATGGCTACACCATGCATGCCAAGACTCTTTCTCCATCTGGCCTTGCTCAAAAACATGCTTGAAGCTGCCAAATCTTAACACGGATGCCTTCTGACACAAGGAACGGAAGGGGCACATCACAGTGATTCTGAGACTCCGTTTGTAAGGAACTGAAGAGCTCCAAAACAACAAGCCGGGATCGCGCCTCGTTGTCCGAACTCATCCTCACAGCACAGTCGCATCTACCAGCAAGGAATCTATGAGGCCGGAGGGTCCTCCCCATGCGCTTGTGGGCTCAGCTTGGGGGGACGGGATATTCGGATAGCTTCGAGGCGTGTACTATAGGGGCCTTTATAGTTAGAATAGGGATTTGGGGCCCATTATACTATATAAGTAGAATGGGAACCCCCAAAACAGTAGAGGTGATGATGAGTAGTCCCTGTAGTAACAGGTCGCCGGTCCTCTTCTGAAAAAGATTTGGCATCTCCTCCTGCAAGGACTTCCATCGCAGCTGCTGCTCCTCAGAAAGCCTGGAGGCTCGCATACGGAAAACCCAAAGCCCCAGACTCCGAAACGGAATTTTGTACAGGTGGAGTTCGACCTATGAGATAGGAAAGTGCGGGAGGCGGGGACAAAAGCCAGATGCCTGAATTTACAGTACAGCTACCCGCTGTCGTACTCTTCGTCGTGCTGGTCAGCGCGATCGTAAGTCCCGGCGTATGCAGGTCGCAGCAATGGCAGCAGCACCAGCAGAAGAAGAAGCACTGGAGGAGCTGGAGTAGGAAGGAGCGACAGCAGTTGCAGTAGCACTCACAGCAGTAGCAGCAGCAACACTAGCAGTAGCAGCAGCAGTATCAGCAGCAGCCGCGTGGCAGTAGTAGCAGTGGTAGTGGTGGTAGTGGTGGTAGTGGCAGAGGTATTCTATATATATATAGATATATGTAATAATAATAATGATAATTATAATAATGATAATGATAATGATAATGATAATCAAAGTGATAATGATAATGATAGTGATAGTGATAGTGATAGTGATAATGACAATGATAGTGATAATGATAATGATAATAATCATAATTATCATAATCATAATAAATATAGTAATAACAATAGTAATCATAATAATAATCATAGTAAAAAAGAAATAATAATAACAATAGTAATAATAATAATAACAATAATAATAATAGTAATATTAATAATAATAATAATAATAATAATAATAATAATAATAATAATAATTTTATTATCATTATTATTGTTGTCTCTTCAAGTCTTCGCTGCTGGTCGAAGCTCTGACAGGTCTCGGGGCCCCCGCCGCAAAGTCAGAAGGGCGGCCTCAGCCTCAATCACCTAAGCCGACATCCGCCGAAATGCCCCTAGGTCTCGGTTCTGCGAGGTCTTTACATTAATGTAGGGGCCTCAACAATGAGAATAAGGTTATTGGGGGGGTATATTATACTATGATTATAAGGAAACCGCCAAAACTCTTTTCTAATTATTCAAGCCCCTACATGAAGTGTTTGTGGCTTTGGGTTTGGCATGCGGCTGGAGGCCAGGAAGTGTAGGACTTCCGCTTCTGGGCCTTCCACGCAGCTCAAAATGCCCGGCAAGCGCTTTGGCTACGTCTCACCTCTTGGGTGTATAGGGTTTAGGGTTTAGAGCCAACTCGACAGTCACCAGCCATGCTTAGAGGCTTAGAGGCCGATAGAGCGGGGCCGAAGACCAACTTCCGAATTCCTACCGCCCTTCCCTAAATTATGAGCCCTGGCCCCTGAAACCCTGAACTTCATAGAAGACCCCAAGAAAACCCTAACCCCAAAAGCGAAACCCTGAACTCTGAAACTGACCCTTCACCCCCGATGCTGAGGGCCCCACCTCCAGGACATCGCCGGCTTCCTCCACGGCCTCTGCCCCCGGCGGCACCCGACGACTTTGGGCTTCGGGAGCGTAGCAACAAACCAAATTTGGGGTTTTTTGGGTTGAGGGCCGGGGGTTTAAGGTTTAGGGAACAGGGTTGTTTAAGAAGGTTGTGGGTTTGGGGAGGTTGGGTGTTTGGGACATCGTGCTGATCGGAAACCGTTGGATATCAGATAACTGTTCGATTCGAAGTCTTGCATGTGGCTGCGTGAGTATGATTGCAACCAAACTTGCACCCACCTTGCATTTACATACTCCTGATCACATTCATGGCAATCGGAATACGGGTGAAGCATTTTGACAGCAGAAAACGCAAGACAGGGACAGCCCATTCAAAAGAGTCAAGTCTGGGGGGAACCTGTCCGTTTAGGGTTTAGGGTTTAGGGCCTGCACCTGAACCCTGAGCCCTAAACACGAGACCAAGCAGCCTAGGAACCCCCAGAAATCGCAATCGCCCCAACATCCATCTTGGACGTAACGTAGCAGCCCAAACACCAAACCCCCAAGGTTTCTTAATCAGGTTCCTACATTATTATAGGACCCTTATTATAGATCCCTTTTTGGAACCCTTATAGTACCCGTGTTATAGATCCCTTATAGGAACCCTTATAGGCCCCTCAGAGCAGCCCAAGTATCAAACACGTAACCCTTAAAGGAATCTTAGGGCCCTAATAGGACCCTTCTTGGGAACCCTAAACCCTAAACCGTAAACCCTTTTTGGGAACCCTAAACCCTAAACCCTTTTTGGGAACCCTTTTGAAAGTGTATCAAAAACCACCCCCCTCCCAGCTCGCCTCCGGCACCGAAGCCGCTGCTTCGCCAGGGCCCAGGGCTGCAGAGGCCTCGCTGGCCGCCCCTGTTTAAGCTTTAGGGTTTAGGGGTTTTTAGGCTTTAGGCGTTTTTTGGCTTTAGGCTTTTGTTGGGCTTTGGGCTGTTTTAGGCTTTAGGCTTTTTGAGGCTTTAGGCTTTTTTAGGCTTCATGGTTTAGGGTTTAGGCTTTTTTAGGGTTTGGGGTTTAGGCTTTACGATTTGGGGTTTAGGCTTTAGGGTTTAGGGTTTAGGTTCTAAGGTTTTGGCACGGCTTTCTGAGGTGCTTTTTTGTTTTGTACCGGGTGCTTATATTGGAAGGTGTTTTGTAGGGTTTGTAACGGATTTCATAGGGCTGTCTAAGGTGGCTTTGCGTGTTGTAAGGGGAAGGAAAGGATGTTATGGGGTGCTATACAAGCGTTTGCAAGGGGTTCTGATCGAGCTTTTTCAAGGTGCCCGGGTAAGGGGCCTTGACAGGGTTTTATGTTTAAGTGTTTGGCAGGCAGGCTTGTGTAAGGGGTGTTGATGGTGTTTTAAGTGTTTTCATAGGATTTTTTCGGGCACAGTGTCATGGGGTGCAACCATTTGGGATCGTCTGGAAGTCTCGGTGCCCGATTCGCTAAGTCGGCTAGGCGGTAGCAAGCTAGGTCCAAAAGGAGTCCGCCAGGCCCCAAACAACAGTGCGAGGTTGCGATCTCCTCACGTATTATACTATACTATACCATATCATATTACGTATACGTATATGCTCTATTTTGTGTGTATATATATAATATATATCTATACATGTGATCTCCTCGCCAAGTCCTAGGAGCTCTGTGGCTTGCTAGCGCAGGGAGGCCTGTCACTCGAACTTGCCATGATCCAAATTCCGCCTGAGATGCAGCACAGCACCGAACATGCGCGGCAAGCAGATGCTCTACGTGTACTCTGCGGTCTGTGGTAGATTTCTGACAATGCCAGAGACACATGGGGAGACATGACAGGCACGCATCAATGCTCGTGGCTCATCGCAACTTCGCTGCCACGGCACAGATGGGCCCATGACGAGTCCCGTCAACTGGGCATGTTGTGCTCCGGTGAACTGGATGGTATCACCTGGGTTCTTGTTCAGGAACTCAGCTCATGGTACAATGCTAAGGCCACTAAGGAAAGCATAGAGTTGAGGGAAATGTTTTACCACTTTACAGATTGTTCCTTAACGAGAGCCCAGTCACCGGACATGAGGGTGTTGGACTCGTCCGACCAGCCCTGAAGGAGCCAGTCCTGCCGACAAACTACTCGGCCATCTCCCCAACCCGAACCCTCGTAGTACCTTTAAACGTACCCCTAAACCCCGCTTAGTTGCGAGGTTCCTTGAGAGACGTGGGGACCCAGCCTTCAACATCTCATCCGCAATGGCCCCGGAGTGCTTGCAACATAACCTCTGCAGCTGCTCTTCGGGAACGCATGGCATGCAGGAGTGGGGGTACCCCCCGAGTGCAGCCTGAATCACGAACTTTGCCACGCGATCAACACATCAAAATGCCTGCGTCTGACCGTCCCAAGATACCTACGCCCTATAACTGCCTCATAAGATGATGATGATGATGAGGAGGAGGAGGAGTATAGCAAATTTGCCTTTGGTTCATGCAGGAGTTACTTCTGCCGCGCAGGCATCTCCATCTTCAACAGCTGCCACATCAAGACTAAGAACAGCAACAGCAGCAGCAGCAGCAGCAGCAGCAGTGGAAGTCGCAGTAGAAACAGGCGTCTGCTCCTCGTCATAATCCCCATCATCATTGCAGTCCTCATACTCCACATTTGCGTCGCAGGTATCACCTTCGCATCACCATCACCACCATCACCGTCATCATTACCAGCAACATCATCAGCAACTATATACCTGCAAATGACATCGTCGACGCCTTCGTCGACATCACAATGTCACTTGCGGAACAGAGGAGAGACGCAACATAAGGCCCCGGCGAGAGCGCCTCAGCCCAGCATCCGCTTGCAGCTTCGGCTAGACAGAGCCCGCCAAGCCTTCTCATCCCCAGAGACTCCAATATCCCTTAATTACGGACTATACCGTAAATGATATTAGGGATCCTACTGAAATTTTAAGGTGTATTCCTTAATTAAGGAATATACCTTAAATTATAGTAGGATCCCTTGTACGATTTAAGGTGTATCCCTTAATCAAGGGATATTGGAGTCTCTGGGCCCCGGGCTCCGGCGCAGGAGAGAAGCTTTTTGCGCTCAGGGCTTTTGGTAGCAAGTAGCGAAAATGGATCCCTACAGTAGTCCCTATATGGGGGTTTCTGAAATTAGGGGTACCTTATTTTGGGGTCCTTATAATAAGGATCCTACTATTTAGGGTCCCATATTAGGGTCCCCTATTTTCGGAAACTCCCAATAATAGTCCTCATAAGGGCTCCATTAAACGGGATCTATTGAAGGGGGGTAGGATAAATAGGAAGTTCTTGATCTCGCCGAACTTCCAGAGAATGTCTCTCCATTTCTCAATCTGGCATTCGGCTCACGCCGGTCTTCCGAATCGGCGAATCTGGATATCTGGCACCTGTTCAACAGCTTTTCGTGGGAAAAAGCAAATTTCTGGAAGAGTAGGCAACCAGCCGCCCGACGGCACAAAACCGAAGCCACAAGAGTCACATGGGGGTTTCCGAAAACAGGGGACCCTAACATAGTACCTTAACTAGTAGGATCCTTATTACAAGGACGTCAAGATAAGGTACCCCGAATTTTCGGAAAGTCCCACATCCCAAACAAAGCCGAACCCCGAGACAAGACCCCTTGAGCCTCGACCCTGAACCATGCAACATCCTGAGTGTAATATAGGGGCCTTAATAATTAGAATGGGGTTTCTTTAAAGGGGCCTATAAGGGTTACCATAAGGGATCTAAAGGGTACTACACTATAGGGGCCTTAATAATTGGAGTAGGGTTTTGGGGCCCATTATACTCTGTAAGGTACGTTTGAATTCTGAAAGCCTCCCCCCAACACAAAATGGCCCGAAATCCTTACCCTATCCCTCCAAGGACCTCATAGTTACGGCCCTTATACCCCTTAAGGACCCCATAATAAGGTCCCTGGAGGCATAGGGTTAACCTGAGGGCCCAGGAGCAGCAACGCCAGATCCAGGTCGGACGCGCCAGGCTCCTGGCTCGAGGGTTCCGGTCTCGGACCGACGTGGGAGTTTCCGAAAACAGGGGACCCTAATATAGTACCCTTAATAGTAGGATCCTTAGTATAAGGACCCCCAAATAAGGTACCCCGAATTTTCGGAAACTCCCAAGTTGATGAGGCGTTGCAGTGTGGCTACTTGGAGGTTCAGGGGTAGTTATAAGTGGGGTTATAAGTCCCCTAATATGGGCTATAAATACAGTAACCCTACTTACAACCCCACTTATAACTACCCATAAACCTCCAAGTAGACGAGCAGGTGGAGTTCTAGTGCCTAGTGGTGGTATGGTTATGGTAGCATCGCAACCATTAGCATCACCATCACGGGTGCCTGAACCGCGAACCCTCGTGCCTTAAGAAGGACTAGCACGGACTTCGCCCGAATGCGGTGGTGAAGTGTTTTACATCGCAGCACGACAACGTTGCACGCACTGCCATCTTATGCCGTTCGCCGAGCACGGAGGGAGGGACTTCCCCTAAGTTATATCCAGAAGTGGGACCGGATTCCAGCAAGTCTCAAGCGGTGCAACAAGTCCAGGGCTGTGTTCACAGTTCGGTGATTCCACGGCGGTGGTCCCCAACCTGGATAAAGCTCTGGGAAATCGAAGTGATACTCAAAGTAGAGCTCGTCCACCAGCTGAGCCAGCTCGGGCCGTTCTGCCAGTGCCTCCACAATTTCCAGCTCTGGACCATGATCGATGTCCACCTTAACAACGACGAAGTCACTCGGCTTTGCAGATTCCATTAGCAGCCGAAGGAAGCTTCCTTTCTCAGGCAGCGGTCCACGTAAGGACTGTGGGCACGGATTCTCAGCTACCGGTATGTTGTAGAAGTGCACTCTGTGGCGAATGTGGTCTGGAATAGGCTGCCACCAATGGTCCACGTTCATGGGCGTGACTTCCCAGGCGAATATCTCGTCGAACTCAAGGCAACGATCCTTGTACATCTGAAAGAACAGTGGAATGGAGGGGCCCAGCCCTACGCCAAGGTCATACTTAAAGCCATCAAAGGCATTCTGGGAGTTCCCATTGTCCGTACAGCCCAGGTCATAATATTTGACGATGGGTTTCGGCTCGGATCTGCCGCAAGCATTCTCAGTGACCAGGTAGGTGATGTCAAAAGTGTCAGCTTTGAAAGAAGGGTCTGTCGCACCACAGATTTGAGACATCGGGTGCCGAGCCATCCCGTGAAGAGGCTCGATGAAACTCTGAAGCGACACCCCGTCGACAGACCGGGAGAATGAGGAGAGTACCGAGGCTTCCTCTTGTGTTGGCTCCCTGGCGGGCTGACCACCAGGACGGAACACCGACTTCGAATAGCCTGTCCATACCCCTGCTTCTTGCCACTGTCGCAAAGACATGTTGCAGATCGCGCTGCCGTCTAGGGAGCTCTGAAGCCAAGATTCTTCCAGCTGACTGGAGACATACTCCGAGGCGGGCTGGTGTGTGACGTTGCGACTGATCGCCGCAACACAGGGGTGCACGAAATTGATCTTTGGCGGCTCGCGGTTCGCCCTCTTCAGCACATAGATGCCCGTGCAGCATCCGCTAGTCAGGACGAGAAGGCCCAGCTTCAAGCGGCTCCCGGCAATTCGCGTGATGAAAGAGAAGGCTATGGCTCGCAGGCTGCGATATCTGGCCATCGTTCACAAGACCACCTTGGGGATACTACATAGAACAATCAACATCGTAACGATGACGAGGCTCGAGATACGGGTTTAAATGACTGGCCATGGCAGTATTGGCAGAACAACCATATTCTACACTGGCAGCTCTGGTTCACATAGCAGCAACAGCAGCAGCCGCAGGATGCGGAGGAGGTGGCAGAGTACTAGTAGTAGTAGTAGTAGTAGTAGTAGTAGTAGTAGTAGTAGTAGTAGTAGTAGTTGTTGTTGTAGTAGGAGTAGGAGTAGGAGTAGTAGTAGTAGTAGTAGTAGTAGTAGTAGTAGTAGTAGTAGTAGTAGTAGGAGGAGGAGCAGTAGTAGTAGTAGCAGTAGTAGTAGCAGTAGTAGTAGCAGCAGTAGCAGTAGCAGTAGCAGTAGCAGTAGCAGCAGCAGCAGCAGGAGCAGTAGCAGTAGCAGTAGCAGTAGCAGTAGCAGTAGCAGTAGCAGTGGCAGTAGCAGTAGCAGTAGCAGTAGCAGTAGCAGTAGCAGTAGCAGTAGCAGTAGCAGTAGCAGCAGCAACAGCAGCAGCAGCAGTAGGAGTAGGAGTAGGAGTAGGAGTAGGAGTAGGAGTAGGAGTAGGAGTAGGAGTAGGAGTAGGGGTAGGAGTAGGGGTAGGGGTAGGAGTAGGAGTAGGAGTAGGAGTAGGAGTAGTAGGAGGAGTAGGAGTAGGAGTAGGAGTAGGAGTAGGAGTAGGAGTAGGAGTAGGAGTAGGAGTAGGAGTAGGAGTAGGAGTAGGAGTAGGAGTAGGAGTAGGAGTAGGAGTAGGAGTAGGAGTAGGAGTAGGAGTAGGAGTAGGAGTAGGAGTAGGTAGTAGGAGTAGGAGTAGGAGTAGGAGTAGGAGTAGGAGTAGGAGTAGGAGTAGGAGTAGGAGTAGGAGTAGGAGTAGGAGTAGTAGTAGTAGTAGTAGTAGTAGTAGTAGTAGTAGTAGTAGTAGTAGTAGTAGTAGTAGTAGTAGTAGTAGTAGTAGTAGTAGTAGTAGTAGTAGTAGTAGTAGTAGTAGTAGTAGTAGTAGTAGTAGTAGTATTTGCAGCAGCAGTAGCAGCTGCAGCTTCAGCAGCAATGGTCTACCGTATTTTTGCTGATGCTCGTGCTGTTGATGGTGAAGAGCCCGTCTACAGCTGTATTGTGTCAAGCATAAAGTATGACCCCTATGACCCTGTTGTGCAGGTGCAACCCGTCTTGAAGCGTGATGGGCAAGGGAACACCCCTGGCTTAAGCTGCAGCGCTCGTGGCTGGGCTTTCAACATGTTCGAAGTTGTGCTCTGGACCCTTTGAGCCGGCTGGAAGGCTTTCCCGGCAGCGAAACGACAACGCAAAAGGGCGGACGGAGCTGGATGGGATCCCAATGCGAAGGCAAATGTGAAAAGGAGACGGGCATGCAGCAGAACACTGTGTGAGACAGAAGCTCCCTTACTGCCTTACAACACCACGACCACGGCCGCTACCGGTACCAGATGACATAACCACCACTGCGACGACGTTCAGCAATACGAGGCGGATGATGATGATGACGATGATGATGCTGATCGCAGATGATTGCCAGGATGGTGACAGCGATGATGATGGTGACGGTCATGGTGATGGCGACGTTGGTGTTGATGATAATGTGCTGATGGCCGTGGCATGGTGCCGGTGCTGGCACATTTAATGAACTCTGACAGCTGTGAGGCATATCCGGCGTCTTAAACATCCCTTCTGCCAGAAAGTGCTTTGCACTTACACGGCTCCATCATCTGAGCTCCCCTTCCCTTGTGACACTCTTGATTTGCAATGCGACGGCGGATGTGCGGCACCGAAGTCTGATAACTGGATTTGACAGCAAATCCAACGCTGGCATTGCAGCTGTGCACATACTGGGACAGTCCCTGTGGCGGCACGTCTGCAGTCATTCGGCAACCGGCGCGGGAGAACATACACAAATCCAAGCTTTCTTTCCGTCTGCAAGTGAAAACAGATCTCTTTAGGCAGGAGGACATGCCAGCCACAGGGGCGGTTCACTCGGCCCAGCCCCTACCGGCCCTACCACTCTTTCAGCGCAGCCCCTCCCTTGGATTCGGCATCCAGATACTTCTGCTCCTCTCCTCCGGGAGTGATCACCACCTCGGCTTGGGCCCCCACTTCCGCGCGAAAGTTCGGGGACCGAAGCCCCCAAGGCGACTGAGGGAAGGACCAGTGCTGGAATTCCGCCGCGACGGTCGCCCCCATACTTCGGAATCTCTCGGCCGCCCCAGAGGTGGAATTTCCGCTTGAGTGAGTCCTCACACGGTGGCCGGGAAGCTTGCTGATGCTTGGCGCTACAGCATATCTTCTCATTATCAGGTTGGCAGCACGCACGATCCGAAGTTTTCCAACATCCTCTAATTCAGACTGTGGCCGATCGTTCGAGGTGGCGGAAGCGATTTTGAAGAAAGTAAGAATCACAGCTCGCCCAAAATCGAGTGTCTCGACTTTACGGTTTTGGGGTAGCCTAGGCCAGTCTGCAGCAATCTGTGGACCTGCCTATCTATCTATCTACCCATCCGTCCATGTCTATATATGTGTGTACATACAGTTAAACACTTACGTGTGTATATATATATATATATATGTGTGCGTATGTACATATTACATATACATGCATATAAAAACTCATCATACGCATATGTTGCACGCTCTCACATGATGCTTTGTCCTGCATCTCAGAGCCAAACGGGACAGAGAGGAACTGGCTCGGCAGGTGGGAGCGATGTTGATCGTACTCCTCCGACGAGACCCGTTGTGCGAGGACTGTAAAGTAAAGGCGAGTTAATCTAGGGGCCTGAATAATTAGAATAGGCTTTTGGGACCCATTATACTATACTTTTAATAAGAAAGACTCCCTATTGATAATTATTTAGGCCCCTATGTTAAGGCCTTAGAGCCCGGGGTGAACACTTTGAGAAACACAGCATGACCGCTGCAAGCAATCGGTCCTCTTTCGTGAAGTCAGAGCTCACGAACACCACCGCCTTCACATGAGAGTATGAGAGGGAACCTGCCGGCACACCGGACGCAAACCGAGCCTTGTCACCCACGTCCTTCATGAAGTCCGTCAGCACAGGTGTGAAGGCAGTACACATTGGGCACCACTCACCCGCGAAGTACAGCGCCACCGACTTTCCCTCAGGGTTTTTGCCCCAAACTGAGGGACTAGAGTAGAGCTCAGCAGTCAGCGGGGTTTAGGAGTCCGTTCAGAATCCTCTATGGAGTTTAGGCCCTCGCCTCAAGGGAGCTTCCATCGACTTCCTTGCCCTCGCTGTCCAGCAGTGGTCCCAGGCTCGGGGCCGCGCTCGGCGCCGCCGCCATCGCCACGGAGCTCAGGGCGATGCTCCGCCGGGAGCCGAGGCTCGGGGCCGTCAAGAAGCACCTGGCAAGGCAAGTCAGGAGTTCTTAGTAACTAGTATCATATCATACTCTATCACATCATACCAGATCATACCAGATCATATCATATCATACCAGATCAGATCAGCTGAATCTGAAGGCTTTGCTCGCTTGCTCTGAACTTCCGGTATCTTTGCCAAGCCTGGTGAAGCCAGCAGCCGGGAGGAAGGTGCAGACGGTTAGCGCCGAGAGCCGCGCAGGAGTTCTGCAGACACGCCTTCGACCAGTCTGGGGGCTCACAAAGCCCTTTTACTCGGGCTTCTGCAAGAGGTTTATGCTGACTCATAGGGATTCCTTCTTGACGGTTCTATAAACTATGCTAATGTTCTAGACTACTTTCCATGAGGGTCTTCCGGTCCCCAGAAGGGGTTTGGGGCTAGAGGCATCTCAACCCGACCAGGACCCGGCAAAGCTGGAAGTTCGAGGCTCCCTTCGAGGCTCCGTTTAACGGGCTTAGGGTCCGTGAATTCAGGGTTTAGGGTTTAGGGGGGATCCCTTCTTCAGGAACCAGATGACCCTGGTTGCTTCTGGGTCGACGGGAAGTTATGACTCTGAGATACCTGACTTTACAACCCCACCCATACAAACCCACCTACATGAAGACCAATAGACAACAACGCAGCCCCTAATATAGGACCTGAATAATCAGAATAGGGTTTTGGGACCCATTATACTATAAGTACAGTAAGGAACCCCTATAGGTTATTTAGGCTCCTATAGCACAGCCTTATCCTGCTTCCGACCCTCCTCACATTATATGCAACCCGCAAGCCTAAAAGGGTGCCTCCTCCCTCTCAAATCCTACAAAACACCAGATACGTCCACTAATGTGGGGGACTTAATAATTAGAATAGGGTTCCTTGAAAGGGTTCGACAAGGGGTCTATAAGGGATCTAAAGTAGGGTTCTAGATTCGGGATTATTGAGGCCCCTACATGAAGAGCGGGGAAGCCTGGCGAGCATCGCAAGCAAACGCGATCCAAAAGGCTGAGCCGAAGCGGCCGCGACGGTTTGCGCGGGTGAACTTCTCGATTGCGGGTTGAGGGTTCGGGGTTTAGCTAAAACCAACGAACCTAACCTCAAACGCTGAAATCATTTAAGCTTGTCGGGTTAGGCATAAAAGCTTCCTGCGAGGCAACAGATATACGATCTATGATTATATGTTGTAAACTAGGTATTCTACCTCAGGTCTTGTTCTCCATGATTACACATGATTCTTTTGATATAGTACGTATACTATACACGTACATATATATATATATATATATAAATAAATAAATAATGTGAACTTTACTTCAGCACCCTCCGGGCCGACTGCTTCATGCTTTGCTAATTCAAGGAGACTCTGCGAGGCGGCTGGAGCCTGCGGCGTTTAAAGCCTTCTTTTCTGCTCTTTTTTAGGGTTTAGGGCTTAGGGCTTAGGGGGCCTTAAGAAGAAGTAGAATAGGCCTTCGGAGGATTGTGCTAGACTCATAATCAGGAACTACAAAACATCCCGAAACCCCAGCCTGAACCCTTGAACCCCAAAACCATCCTCGACCAGTTAGGGTTTAGGGTTAGGGTTAGGGTTCCTGTCCTCCAGGGCCTCCATCAGCTGCATTGCAGCCTTCGCCTTCGCCATTCCTGCACGGACGACCGGAGACACCCATAAGTGAAGCTGAGAGGAGGGACGAACGCTGAACGCCTACCGCAGGCCTCAACGCTGAGAACTCTATTCCTAGGCTTCCTCTTTGTAATTATCGTAGAATCTACCCCAAAACCCTTCTCTTATTCTCAAGGCCCCTGTATTACATCCTCGGAGAGGTGCTCATTATCGAGGCGACTCACGCAAAGAGGAGCGAGGAGCTTTGATCCTTCAAACGCTCGACAGGCTCTGCAGTAGGCCTTGAATAGGGTTTAGGGTTTAGGGTCAATATACTCATAGTCTACATTGAAGGATTCTACGACTTAGCGTCCGAAAAACTCATAACAAGGATCCTACGATTTAGTGTTTGCGCAGTTCATACCAAGAATCCTACGATTTAGGGTCCACGATTTGGGTCTATCTAATGCACAGTAAGGAAGGAGCTTACCATTTAGGGTCCATGCGTTCCATAAAAATTATCCTGTTGTTTAGCAACGAACATGGATCATACTGTTTAGGGCGCGCAAAACTCATACCACCTATCCCATCTTGGTGTCTTTATCAATGGAAACTACTTACTTGTTAAACTCTCGACGAGTAATATCCTCAAGCACGAGTCACCTGCAATGAAATTCTTCCTGCTTCAGGTCGAAATTGTGGCTTTGTTCGATGCCCGTGAAAACCGTCTCCTGTCGTCCATTGGCCGCTGTCGAAGCATTTGATCGCTTGCCTTGGGTGCGAAGCCAGGTGCTGTACGTAGGGGCAAAAAAGGGCTTTGGGCATTGTAGGGGTAATGTAGCTTATTGTAGCTATAGTATAATGTTCCCCCACACCCTATTCCAATTATTAAGGCCCCTACATTTTGGAACTTCAGACCGTGAATTTTAGGGCTTCCAGACCCTCTACGTGTTAGGATGGGCTCAGAACTTTAGACTTTGACTTCGGTGGTTGGGCTTTCAGGCTACAGGAGTGCAGGGGTGTTTCGCGCTTGCAATATGACAATATGAGTATGTTGATTACACCACACCATATTCTAGTATCTTCTAGTATCACACTATAGTTAGTTCACTACAGACTGGAATAGGTTTTATTGGATCTTCTGGTATGTTGTAGTGGGGATATTTCTAAGGGATACCACTACCAAACTTTCAGTCCGAGTGGCTCCACGGCCTTCGCCACGAATCTTTGTCGGCGCTCCATGGCGCCGAAGGCCCATGCACACTTGGAGGTTCATGGGCAGTTATAAGTGGGGTTGTAAGTAGGGTGGCTATACTTATAGCTCATATTAGGGACTTTAACCCCCCCAGTAGCTATACTTATCCCCTTTTCGCCTGCAGATGCGAAGTCTCCCGGGCGCGAAGCATTTTGCTTCGAGGTGAACCTGCAGGGCCGAAAGCAGCCTACCGGGACAAGGACCTAACTAAAACCCCAAGAGGCCCGAGGACTAAACCGAAGGGGCTTAAAGGGGAGAGGAAGCCTCCGTCCGAAGGCTCGCTGAGGCACTGCAAAGCCCAAGCAGATTCCTGGGCCAGGGTGGGCGGGCGAGAAAGAAGCTGCTGAGGAGTCGCATTCAAACGGCTGGCATGGGATATTTGGCATCCCCTTTTCGCCTGCAGATGCGAAGTCTCCCGGGCGCGAAGCATTTTGCTTCGAGGTGAACCTGCAGGGCCGAAAGCAGCCTACCGGGACAAGGACCTAACTAAAACCCCAAGAGGCCCGAGGACTAAACCGAAGGGGCTTAAAGGGGAGAGGAGGCCTCCGTCCGAAGGCTCGCTGAGGCACTGCAAAGCCCAAGCAGATTCCATCTCTAACTTCCTTGGCGCAAGCCACAAGACGCGATGACTTGTTGGATCAAGCATCGCGAAAAGGAAGAGAGCGTGCGTATGCGCTCTCGAGACCAAGGCGTGAGCCTGTGCAACAGAAGCTGCGCCGCCACCTCTTGCAAGTAGAACTCTACTGTCTTAGTTTTGCTCCACCGCCCTCTCCAGGCCACAAGAGGCAAGTCCTCCGTCTCAAGGTAAAGGAAAGTGGCCCCTGAACCTCTCAAGACACCAGGTGTAGCGCCGCGCTGCGCCAGCTGGTGCGGGACGCCGAGGCGCGACATTACAGCGTTCCACTGACGACGGTAAACATGCATCGAACCTCGAAAGAGGCGAGCATGAAGAGGGAGGTCGAAGTACATGGCGTGGAGCCATTCAAGAACCAAAGGATCTTCCAGCCGAGAGTGCTGGCGCCTTGCAAACCGCTGCGTTTTAGGGTTGCGAATGTGCACATAAGCAACCGGGTCACGTGTAAGGGCGTCGGCTGGGAAGACAAGGTCTTGACGGACCAGTGGGATCATCTCAGCAGGATGGAGCGCAAAGGAACCCGACGGCAGTGACGGCGGCCCAATCATACCAACCCCAACAGATCGCAAGGCCGACGGCAGCTTGGAGGATAGGTTGAGAAATGACGGGGCGGCATTCACATAGTTCGGCAAGCTGCCACTTTCGATCCACCTGCCAGGCTGGAGACAAGTGGGAACGAAACTCTGGAAAACGATCCTGGATTGAAGTGATCGCATACACTAGCAAGTAGCGCGGGTGCCCGCCGGCGTAAAGGTGGAGACCAAAAGCGCGCAAGGCTAGGGCAACAGTTGAAGCGGACGAAGTGACCGCACCAAGCGACAAACCAAACTCGGCCAGGAGCCAGGTAGTGAAAGCGCTCAAAGCCTTAGCCATCTTGTGGCGGGTCGAAGCAGCGAAGCCAGCTTCAAGGTCGAGGCTGCCTCTGGGAGCGCCCGAGTGCCTGGGGCCAGGATTGCGCTCAACGTCGCCAGCAAGCAGAAGGAACAACCGCACCCAACGACCCAGGCGACGGGGGACGGCAGCAGCAGCGCAAACCAAGTCAAAAGGGCGCGTGTCACCCGAAACCAGAGAAGTGAGCCAGGAAGGCCAAGCTTTAGAAGGAGCCAAAGGGCGGCTGCCTCTAGAAGGGCCGTCAGCACGATTCTTAGCAGAGTAAACGTGGAGCCCCCCAGGGTACAGCGAAGAGCCGATGACGTAAGGCAAGGTGGATCGGAGGACGCGACAGACAGCCGCACTGGCAGAGCGGCCTTTGGCCGCAGCCCCCAAGAGAACAGGGCTGTCGATGAGACCAAGCAGACGACAGCCGCGGTGCCGCTTTGCACACCACTTGATCCAAGTCTTGTAAGCGCGGCACTCAAGAATATTGATGTGCCCCGGTGCAGCGAACTTGTACCTCAGCAACTCAACAAACTCCAAGCAATCTGCCAGCTCGCCGATCCACTCCGGGTCGTCGTGGAAAGGGCGTGGCTCAAAGCCTGTGCAGTCAAAGGGCAAGAAGTCGGGGCCTAAACCGGAAAACCCCAAATCCCTAAGGGTGTCGAGGAAAAGAGAAGCCGGCACAGGCGCGATGTAACCTTGAGTAGCTAAGGCCGAACCTGAAGCTGCACGGAAAAGCAGCGCACAAGGCAGCCGACCGCAGAAAAGCTCAACCGAATCGCCAACGGCAGGCGACTCACCAAAGACGGCCAGAGCTGAAGGAGTGCACCGAGCTTCAAACTCTTGCAAGCTGGCTGAACAAAAGAAGCCAACAGCAGAGAAGTGAGGCGAAGACGCCGGGCAGTGACAGACACCGGGGGAGCGACCTAAACCCACAAGCCAAGGCTTGTTGTGCAACAGCGCGACTGATCGCTTGAACGGTGCGCCGAAATCACAGGTGCAGACGTAGGAAAGAACAGCACCAACGCCGACAAGGTTCCGAAAACAATGAAACCGGAACAAGCGGCTTTCAAGGGGCTGCTCAACACTGAAGTAGACACCGAAGGAGACAGCGTCGAGCCAAGCGGGCAGCTGAAGAAGCACTTTCAAGACCGGCAGCTCCGGGTAGATAGGCATGCGCAGGAGCCGTCACGTGAAGGTCAAACAAGACGCCCTCAGCGAAGAGAGCGCGCAAGCTGTGAAAAACCGCGTCAGAGGCAAGATCAGCAAAGCAGAGCTGCTCCGTAAGGCCGAAGTCGCGAAGCGAAACATCCTGAAGGCCAGCAGCGAGGTGAGCATCACGCCAACCAGGGCCGGTGCCAAAAAGGTGCAAACAACCAGCAGTCTTGAGCACAGCAGGTCGGAGCGGCAATGGCTCCAAACCGAAGGCAAAACCGGAGGCCGTAGCGGGGCCCAAGGCAGAAGCAAAGCTGATGCCGGGATCATCGTCAAGACCAGAGCTGGCAAGAATAGCCCCAGCGGGCTCAAGCAACTTGGTGTAGAAACCTTTCTGCTCAGAAAAACGCCAAAGTTCTTTCACTGTCGCGCTAGGCAGCACAGCAGAGCACAAGCCGGCACCCGTAGGCGAAGCATCCATGCAGAACAAGAGGCCGGGGTAATCGACTCGCAAGTCGGATTGCAGCAAAGGCGCCAAGGCGCACAAAGCAAAGAGCTCGTTGATGGACTCCCGCTGCAGCTGAAACACAGAGGTCCGAGGCTCCCGGCGAGCGTCCGAAAATACGGCTTGCAAGATCGCCAAAGCGGGGCGACGGAAAAGAAGCACGTGGATCCAAAGCCCCCAAAGCGAAGACAGCAAATCAGCCGAACAGCAGCCCTTCCTAGCCACGGTACAGGTAATCCTCATAAGCACTCCAATGCGGTGCCGAGGGGCAGACACAAGGCCCGCCAAGCCATCAATGTCAGCGCCGAGAAAAGTCCCAGCAACTACATTCCTTTGCCGTTTGCGCGGGTGTTGCACAAGCCCCACGGAAGGATAAGCACGTTCGGCACCATTGAAGATAGCAGTATCTCGGAGCTCGCGACCAAGCCGGTGTTCCTCACGAGTGCAAAGCTGAGCTGTAAGATGATCGTCTATGGCAAGGAGTTCGGCGCAAGCACTGCGGGGATACGGACGCCTGTATGCGGCATACTCATAAGGCCTCATGCTGCAAGCGAGCGTGGATAACACATTGAAGTGGCTTTGCTGTGCGAATTCGACAGCGTGACAGTCACCCATAGCCAAGGCCCCGAGGGCGACATAGCAAGGTTTATTGTGAAGTTTTGAATCGAAAACGCTGAAATGCTGAAGTTCCCAAGGGGAGAAAGGAATCCCAAGGCTGCTACGTTCAGCCCTTTTCGAAGAAACTAGAAACGTGTAATACATTTCCGAAAGATCGTCACAATTGAACCGGAGCATGTGCCTATCGGAAGGCAAGTGAGCCAAAGCTAGCAAAGCACCAGGTGCAAGAAGCTTTGTGAAATGACTAAGGCCGTGGGTGCGGGAGTTAGCCACAACAGGGTTAAGGATGAACCTATCACACGCACTGTCCTTGCTTACACTAAAGCAACCCACAGTCTCATGAAATGGAACTTGATCACACGGAACGAGCCGAAGTGCCTGGTGCTCGTCCCACTTGGCAGCAAGCTTGAGCAATTCGTTCCTGGAGCAATGAACCTGTGCACGAGGCAGGCGTGGCCAAGCAGAAGCAGGCAGCCTGAAAGCATTAGGATCATCATAGAGCATCCTAGCAGCCGGATCCGACAAGAAGGGCCGAGGATCGAAGCTAGGCGGCAGGGTCCACTTAATCCGGTCAGCAATCACTTTCTTGCTCGACAGCCCGGGCCCAAGAGCGCACGACCCAAGAGCACCCGATTCAGAAGCACCACCCCCGGCCTCTTCCGAAGCCGCAGCCTGAGACGATGCAGAAGTTTGAGGAGCTTTGGGGGCACGAGGCCGGGAGTACGAGTCCCAATCAGCATGCAATGCAGAAACAAATTGGCTGAGCATGCGGTCCACATCCACAGGGCAACGGGTGTCACACTGAGGCAGTTCCAAGGCCATGCGCAATAAAAGGTCAAATTTTTCGGCACTGCGTCCCAAAGAAGATGCACTGAAGCGCCCGGCCCGCAAGAAATGCAGGGAGTGCCGCTCCAACGTGTCAACCACAGAGTGCTGGGGGCGCCGCGTGCGCAAGCAGAGCTAGGTGGTACATTAGGGCAGCCAAGCGCGAGCCAATTTAAGCACCCAACCTGAAGCCTAACTAAATCCCAAGCTAGCTGGTGAACCCGAGCGCGGCGGCGCCGGTGTGGCCCAAGGGAGCAGGAGGATTGAGCCGTCCATCGAGCCCGTGTGGGCATCGGGACCGGCCACAAATCGCCTGAGCGTTGCTCAGACACAACTGTGCAGGCAGGAGCGCACAAGGAAAGCCTAAGGAAAGACCCCAAGCTAGACCTAGCACCCCAAATCGAACCTAAAAAACTGCGGACCCAACTGATAAAGCACGTCTCGCCTTGAGGCAGCTTAGGGGGCTCGGGAGAGGCAGGAAGAGGAAACTTACATGAAGAAGAACGTCCCTTCGGCCCTGCCCGCGCCGCTGAGGGCTTCGCCCCAGCCGGGTCAAAAGAAACCGCGGTCGAATTAACATAAGGCTGCAAGAGCTCCACTCCGGCAGCCGGGCATGCACTTCCATCTCGTGGCATCACGCTGTGGAGTCCTGACCGCCGCCCTTCGGCCGACGTGGCCTTCTCGGCGGGCGGCCGGGAACTGCATCGTCCTCGGCGAGCTCGCCGTCCTTCCCCTGATCCTTCGTGTTCCCCGGGCCCGTGTTCATTCGAGTCGCAAGCCAGTCCATCTCCCGAAGGTAAGCTAAGTTGGCCGAAGCCCACGGGCAGCTTTTCGCAAACGGCTTGATGCCGGCCTTCTTTCGCATCATGGTGCTCCATGACGGTTCCGGGAGCCCAGTGAGCAGCCAGGCTAGCTGCGTTCTGCCACTCTCGGTCCCGGCCTGGTCCACGAAGAGGATCAATCGAGCCATCCATGCCTCGAGCTCCAGGTTCCCGGACTCTCTCGAAGCCTGCCATGCCTGAGCTGCAAAGGTCCCGATGAGACCGAGCGTTCGATGGTCTCCCAGGGGGCACCTCCTTTCGATGTAACGCCGCATAAGGCTGTGGGGCGGATCCTCGATCGACTCGCCCACATCTTCGGCCACCAGCCGGCGGATCTGAGAAGCCACCTGAGAGTGGTCCTTGAGGATCTTGACGAAAGCGTCCCTGGCCGCGCTGCCGCGCGCATTCAAGTTGCCTTCTTCTTTGCCCCCGCCGGAAGCCAATGCACTCTCGAGCGGCCCCTGCGGTTTCGAAGCAGCCAACTGTCCCAGCATCCGGGTCTGAATGATCAAGAGACGTTGCAGCAAAGGATCCGCCCCCGTCACGGCCAGTTCGTCCTGAGCAGCCTCGGCGTCGAGCTCGGCGAGCAATCCATCCGCCTGGGCCACGCCGGCCTCTCGGGGTGCACGCTCGTGCTGAGCAATCCTGGGCGGAGCCGCCCCAGCCGCAGCTCGAAGCTGATTCAAGTCCGGCATTGCTCAGGCCTACGCCACCAGCTTCCGGAAAAAGGTCGCGAGCACCACGCCGCCCAGTGGCGGCCGAACCTCGAGCCTGGCCGCCCAGAGGCAAAGGGTTGCTCTGAGCAGCTCTTTCCAAAGCGGCGACCTGAGCCCTGAGTCGAATCAGCTCGGCAACGTGAGAGCCTTCGTCCTCCTCGTCGCCCTCGAATTCCTCGGCCTCTTCGGCTCCCTCGGCGGCTGTAGCGTACTCTGCCATAGACTCCTGCAGATCCGGCTCTGCAGCTGCAGCGGTGATCCAAGCGTCCGCCGCGGTAAGGGCAGCAGAGGCCACGGGACGCACCACGGCGCCGCCAGACTGTATGGAAACCAAGGCCAAAGGACTGGACCTCAAAGCAGACCCCTTCCTGAAGTAGCTCAGCCAGTCCCACGGCACGTCCACAAAAATCAAGCTCACCTCCCCGACGGGCCTGCGACGCGGAGTCTCGCAATCGATGTCGACCTCGGTGAAGCCCAGTGGGGTGTCCCCAGCCTCTGTGGAAAAACCGCTGACCAGCTCGTGAACCTGAGCAGTGTGGGGCAGCGCGACCATAAAACCTCCAGCTCGGTGTTTCAGCAAGAAGGCTGTGATCCGGGTCTGAGGAGAGCTGTCGTCGTCGACTAAGTACACCAGAGGAAGCGGCCGCCCAGCAGGGGCGTCCGTCAGAAGACGAACGACCTCGGCACGGCTCAAAGTTCCCGCGGCCATCCCGACTCCGCTCCGCCCAAGTAAGCCTCAGCTTCCGAGCGAGAGGCAAAGCCGTGGCAAATACACCACGGCTCCAAGCGACCTTGCCGATCGCGCCGCACGTAAAGCTCAAAAGTCCTGAAGCGCTCTGTCACAAAGCCCTCGGGCTGAGAATCGCAGCGGAGGACAATGTAGATCCGATTCCGCAGTGGCAGGGCCGGACTTGAAACGATCCAGTCCCGCTCACCGCGCAGTCTGGCGCCAGCAGAAAGGCCAGCGCGATAGGCGCGAGCTATCCTTGCCCGCTGTGTCCAAGATCCCACAACACCAAGCCCACGGCCCAGCCGACAGAAAGGGCCCAGACGCAATCCCTCCAGCTCCGCTGGAGAAGTCGCTTCCAGAAAATCCTCAGCAGCCGAAGGCGCGTTGAGCTCCTCGGGAAGCGGCGGCGCTTCCCCAGCAAGGGGTCCAGAAACAGCCTGGGAGCTTGAAGTAGGGGCCTCCACCAAGGTGAAGGAGCCAGTCGGCGAGGGTTCGGGCGAATCCGGGCCCGGAGCAGCAGCAGTCCCAGAGACTGCAATTCGCAAACCGCGGAAATGAACCACAAGTTCGTCCACAGAAGAGCGGCTGCTCATTCACGGTATCCCTGCAACCTCCGAGCCAGCTGAACCCGAAAACTGGGAGCGGGGCCTGAGGCGAGCTCAAGCCAAGCAGCCAGGAATCGTAAGCCAGCCGAACAAACCCGTCGAGCCCAAGTGGAAAGCACCAGCGTAGCAGCCAGGATCCCACAGAAGCAGCCCAAGCAGCAAAACCCGAGGCTCAAGACGATCGCAAGCCAAACCGGGATGCCGCTCGAACTATGGCTCGGGCCCCAAAACCTAAACTCACGAGCGAGCTCGGGCAGGGCAGCCCACATTCGAGAAAGAAGCTGCTGAGGAGTCGCATTCAAACGGCTGGCATGGGATATTTGGCATAACTCATATCAGGGGACTTAAAACCCCACTTATGACTACCCATGAACCTCCAAGCAGGGTTTAGGGTCCCGGGTTTGTTACCTAGGGCTCCTTGAAGGGATCTCCAGGGACTATTATAGGGTTGCAAGGGTCCATGGTTTAGGTTCTAAAGCCTTGGGTTTAGAGCGTCGCGTTTAGGCTCTTAGGGTTTAGTTAAGGTTTAGGGTAGGGCGGATAGCAAAGGCCGCGACTTTGGTGCACTACTGCCTTGGAAAGCCACATTGTGCTTCAAGCCACTATCCTGCTTTCCCGAATGCGCTTGTCACGAAGTCGAAAAGCTGCGGAGGGGTAACTGACCAAGTGCCCACTTGAGTCACATCACATGGACGATGAATCAGAACGGCCTCCCTAAACCCTGAGCCCTAAACCCTTGAGTCGCGAAAGTCTCCGAGACTGCCACGGGACATGCCGGCCGCCCACCAGTTCCTCAAGAACCAGGATTCACGAGGACCACATGACTCAGTAGGCCTGCATTCGAAGAGACTCCAACGTCCCTTCATTAAGCGTTACTTGTCTGATTGTAAGAATAGTCTTTGGCCGAGTCAACAAGCTTTTGGAGTCTGTCAGAAATTTCCCAGGCCACTCAGCTCAGCGCATGATAGGGATTCACGATCGCTGGTGCTGCCGAGGAGAATGCGGGTGGCATTGGCCTCTCGTCCAAGTCGGATAGATGACATAGAGGAACAGCCAGATCCAACCGTGTCCACCCCTTGAAGTCAGCGTGGCCCCGGAAATACTCCATCGGCCCCTTTCGACCCCCAAGCCCATTCCACCTCGGTCGGGGCACATCCTTTGGTAATTCCCCGGCCGAGGCACCTGCGAGGTGAAGCAAGGGTTGAAAACACTCAACGAACACATCATCCTCGCGTATCCATCGAACCAGGAAAACTCGTGTTTCTATCATGATGGTCAGCACTTGACACAAGTATCGTGTGGAGTCTTCTTTCTAATGCCACCGCTGCTGCATTGCCAGGTCCGGTGCTGATGGTTTCCCCTGGCGACTTTGCCGAATCATGCGAAAGCTACTGCTACTGCCACGAGTACCGACCATAGGCCTATGCTTCTCTTTCTACGACTCTTGCTGTTACTGCTACTGCCGCCACCACCACCAGCACCACCAACGCCATCCCACTCCACCGCTACCACTGACTACTGACGACTGGCGAACTGACAACTACTGCCTGCTGACTTCTGGGTGGGTGTTGACCACCGACAACGGACATGACGACGACGCCCACTACAGACTACAACCATCACCACCACAACGACTACTTGAGCTGTAAACTGAGACCAGCGTGCTTTGCGGTTTCAAGAAGCCTCCTCCCATCGAGCCGCGGATGTCGTGGATTGCCTTGAGGGCAGCTTCCACGCCCTCCTGGCAGCACGTGAGAAGCGGCTAATTCTTAAAAAAAAACGCGGAGACAATTTGAAGACAACTATGGTTCAAATATGGGTCCATGGTGTTGAGACAATACTTGTACAGCTCCTCGTCACCACAGCGCCTGAAGGTGCTGTGCGCCACCAATGCCGCCTTCACACGAGCTTCTGAGGCAGACTACCAAGACATGAAAACTCGTATCTCCATAGGTCCATAACGAAAGCCATTCTGAAAATAGTGATAGTAGTAGTGCTGGGAAGCAAACGTCTGAATAAGAGAAGCTACGCTGATCACAGAGATGATGGGAAGTGCACCAACAACGAAATGTAAACTGTTCATCATCATGTCGAACGCATTGTGCCTAAGCTTGTCTTGGAAGGTCTACCAGAAGGCGCTACGATGAACCCATTGACCCCTAAATGACGTGCCCATCATTCTGCAAAAGCACACAGAAAAGATGTGCAAAAAAGAATGCATTCCAGCACAAGCATTATCGATCATTGTTGGAACTGATTGAGGCGGAAGTGTTTTTGCTGGCGGTGCTCATAAGAGAATGACGGAGTCTGCTGCTGCTTGTTCGACGAAGACATCGACCACGACAACGACCGCCACCTCTCAACTACCACAACCAGCACGATTTCGGGCCCCAACAGATCTGTAATGGCAGTTGTACCACAACAGCAGCAGCAGCAGTACCGGTACCAGCAAGAATACGGGTAACAGAACCTGTAGTAGCAGCAACAGCAGTAGTAGCCGTAGTCGTCGTCGCAGTCGCAGTCGCACCCGTAGCAGCTGTAGTCACAGTCGTAGTAGTAGTAGTAGTAGTAGTAGTAGTAGTAGTAGTAGTAGTAGTAGTGGTAGTAGTAGCAGCAGCAGCAGCAGTACTAGCAGCGGCAGTCGCAGTGGTAGTGGTAGTGGTGGTGGCAAAAAGCCGAGTCGCGCAGGATGTCGCAGCTGCACTTCTGCTGCTGCTGTTACAGCTTATGTTGCCGTTCTTCTTGTTACTGCTGTTGCGGCTGCTGAAATGAACAGCCAGCAGAGAAGGGAATTGACAGTATGGCTGGGCAGGTGATATCATCTCATTCTGGTCGTCACGGTAGCTGATGATCTGAACTGCTACTGCTGTTGCTGCTACACTTAACTTCGCTAATACCTAATTTTTTTGCCAGGGGTCCAACCTGCAAAGCGCCGTCATACTGAGGCATCTCCACCTCCTGACATTGTGGCTTTCATCGTCTCGCTGCAACATCTCGAAGGAATCGTCTCATCCAGCCCGAAACCAATTCAACAATTCAGGATGCTCCTTGGCGGTGATGCTTGTCATGCCGCTGGTCATCATCTTGGCGGGGGACCTGCCAAAGTCATCGCTGGCACGGCCCCCGCGTCCGAAAGCAACGGAGTCAAGATCCGAACCACTCCCAAAGCCTAGCCGCCACACCCTGACTGACCCCCACACCCCTAGAAACCCGCTAGAATGCTCAGACCGAAACCCCAAAGTCCGCCTTAAGAGGCAGGAGGAGTAGAGGAGCCCAGTCCAGCCCAGGCCCTGCCTCAGCTTCGGTTCAGGCTTTGGGGCCGGTTTCAGGATTAGGGTTTTAGGGTTTTTCTGGGTGTAGGGGTTTATAGGTTTAAGGTTTAAAGAGTAGGGTTCTTTTTTTTGAAGCGTGATGACTGGTAGTCTACCTGTACAGGCACACACTGGTGAGACAAACACATCGTAGGGCTCGCGAGTGACATTGTCGAGAGAAAGTCGAGAATCCAGGGAATGTTCGACACGTAGTCATTTGCAAATCATCCCAGAAGACCAAATGACGGACGCCCCGGACAGGTACATCCTGAATGTAGTGCCACTTGTGTCAGGGCGAAGCAGGTAGAGCACCTTTCATGGTTTTGGACGAAGTTGAGCATGCCATCTTGGAGGTCGTCCCTGCAGGCAATGTACTGGTAGAAGACGAAGATCCCGAGAATGTAGTGGACGATGCTGTGGTCGGGCATGGCGATGTAGCATCAACTCTTGTTATAGACGAGGTTGAACTCGGCGAAGTACTGGTAGTACTCGATGCTGAACACCGCGATGTAATGGTAGTGCAAGATGTTGACCACGACGATGTACTGGTAGTACACGATGTTGAGCTTGGCGATGTATTCTGGGTTGTGGACAATTTTGAGCACGGCAAGGTACCGTTAGTGGACGAGGTTGAGCACGTTGACGTACTGGTAGTCGACGATGTACTGGTAGTGGACGAGGTTGAGCACATCGATGTACTGGTGGTCGGAGCAACCATTTCTCCCGTGATGGATATCGCAGTTTCTCCTTCTGTAGCATCCGTCTCAGGGTTTAAGAGATTCTGCACGACAGAAGACTGATAATGATATAGGCCCTAAGACTTAGACATGGATCTCCTTTAAAGAGTTCCTTAAGGGGCTGTCTTGGTATAGGGACCTTACTGATTAGAATGGGGTTTTGGTGCACAGTGTAGTAGCGTTAGAATACGAAGAAACTCTAGGAGAGACCATTGCTAATTCTTCAGGTTTCTATGTCAGTTTCTATGTTGCCCAAAGAACAGAGTCTTGTGGGGTGTTCTGTAATTTAGCGTCCCGCGTAACCGTTTTATCTTTGATAGTGTTCATACATACGGTTTACAAGGCTCTTACAGGCTGTTGCAAGGGCATTGGAGAGAACAGTTCTGGCTTGATTTGTGTGGTCCTTACAATCAGGAAGGATCCTAATACTTGGGGTTGGTACTACTCGGGCCTTTCTGATCTAACACAGGGGCCTAAATAGGATTTTGGTGTTTGCTTTCCTGTAGTTATGATAAGGACCCCTACGGAAGAGTCTTGGTAGTTATTCAGGCTCTTGAAGATGAAGACGTTTGAGAGGGGCCACGGGAGGCGATTTGTCCTCTGAGTCCCTCGCCCATCCCTCAAGGTGGCATAGAAATCATAGGCACTCATGGCCTCGCAGCTGAGCAGAACTGAGAAGCCAGATTCAGCAGTACATCCATTGCGCTTGCGGTGGATCCTACAAAGTGCGGAAATCAAATGTTGCAGGCAAGAAGAGTGTCAACAGGTCAAAGAAACTTCAGGTCGGTGCCTCCTTGCTTGCAGTCTCCACATTGTCCGCCTCTGCAAAATCACGTCTAGCACGTCCTAGGATGGCTCAAAGACTTCCCCGGCTCAGCCCAAATGCCTTGAGGTGGGCCTTGGCCATCAAGAACTTGGCCTCGGCTTCAAATCGCCTGTC